ATTATACTCCTCTTTAAATGAAGATTCTTTGTTTTCGTTGATGTATTCTTTGCCCGGTGTGGTCGAAGTTACTTGACTTGTCGAGTACTTTGTCCTTTTCGTTTCGCTCCGCAAAACAACTCATGTGTGTTATCCTCGACTAGACTCCTCGATTTGTCGAGTACTTTTCTTTTCTTCCTCTTTTGTGATCCGTCGAGTGCTTTGTCCACGCTTGTGACTTGTTAGATGTAAATCTTTGTGTTGACAACCTTTCGTCGCGCTATGTAAAACGACTCGGCATAGAATGTCGCCTTTTGAGTGGCTTGTACTTTTCTCGAGGAAAAAGTATTCCTATCTGGATGTAGCCCCGAGCCTCTTGCTTTTCGGAACTAAGAGTCGGAGGGTCTTTGAAGTTCAATTTGGTTGACTAGTTTTGGGTGTTAGCTTTTAGGTACCCTCATCGGTGGGCTCAAGCGTGTTTTCGGCTATTTTGCTCTGGTCGGGATGCTCGGGCATGTTTTGACCATTTTGCTTTTTGTTTGGTGTTAGCTTTTAGCTACCCTCATCATTGGGCTCAAGCGTGTTTTCATTTATTTTGCTCTCTACCGGGATGCTCGTGCATGTTTTGACCATTTTGCTTTTTGTTTGGTGTTAGCTTTTAGCTACCCTCATCGGTGGGCTCAAGCATGTTTTCGGCTATTTTGCTCTCGGTAGGGATGCTCGTGCATGTTTCAAACCATTTTGCTTTTTGTTTGGTGTTAGCTTTTAGCTACCCTCATCGACGGCTCAAGCGTGTTTTCGGCTATTTTGCTCTCTACCGGGATGCTCGGTGCATGTTTTTTCACCATTTTGTTTTTTGTTTCGGGAAAACAACTCGTTGGAAGTCATGACATGACATGTTTGTGGATGAATATCATCTTTATTGATCATGAATATGAACTAATACATATGTTGTCGAAGAATATCGTCCTTCGTCGATTGTGAATGTTGGTCCCTTGTGGCTTGCATATCTGTTTTATCTTGAGTTGTTTTTCTGCGTAGAATCTTCTTAGTGGTCGATGTGCCATGTATTCTTGACTTCTTTTCCATCTTGGTTATTAACTTTATGTGCTCGGTCCGGGTGACTTTTGTGACAATGAACGGACCTTCCCATGGACCGAGAAGCTTATGTCGTCTGGTGGGTCTTTTGTATCCTTCTTAGCACTAAGTCTCCGACTTGTAGTGATCGAGGATGGGTACTCTTGTTGTAGTGCCGTCTTAAAGCTTATGTGCAACAGACGCATAGTCTATACTGAAACCACAGTCTTGTGCCCGGCTTTTCCTCAATTCAGAATGTGAAGGGGAGCCTAGATCCGTGATGATTCGATTGGGCATGCCAAAGCGGTGCGTAATTTCTTGGATAAATTGATTTGCTTTGGTTATACCAGATTTCATGAGTGGTTTGTATTCAATCCACTTGGTGAACTTGTCGATTGCTACAAAGATGTACTCGAAGCCGCCTTTTGCTTTCTTGAGGGTCCCACTTGATCCAGCCCCAATGGAAAAAGGCCAAGCGGGTGGGATGCGAGATAAGATTGTGGTGGCACATGGGCTTGTCTTGCAAACATTTGGCAACCTTTGCATTTTCGACAAGTTCTTCTGCGTCTTTCAAAGCGGTTGGCACAAGAGAATCCGGTCTTGAAATGCTTTGCCAACCAAAGTGTCCTTGAAGCGGCATGATTTCCGCAAGAAACCCGAGTGTATCTCGTCTAAGATCTCTTTGCCTTCTTCAAATGAGACACATTTCAGAGTACCCACGATGATCTTTGCTCTTCTGTAAAGTCTATCTCCTACTAGAACGTAGTTTTTGCTTCTCGCGAATAACTTGGGTGGCTTCGCTTATCTCGCTAGTAATTTATTTTCTTTGATATAGTCGATGAAAACTTGGCTCCATGAGGTGTTGATTACCAAGATCCGAACGCCTTTAGCTTTGAATTTCGTGGGTTGTCTCACCGGGTTGTTTGATAGAGGAACCGATAGCTCTTCTATAAATACGCCGGTGGAACCTTTGCTCTCTGTCGATCCGAAGCTTAGCAAGGACATCTCACGCAATGTTGGAATCGCAGACGTGTAAAATTTCTAATCCTTGGAAATGTTTTTCAAGTTTCCGTATTTCAAAGACAAGAAGCACCCATGTTTTCTTTTGTGCAATCCCAATCTTTGTTTACTTGGTTGATGATCATCTTTGAATCGCCATATACGAGTAATCTCTTTATTCCGAGGGTAATTGTCACTCGTGAGCCCGTGGACGAGGGTTTCATATTCTCGCTTTCGTTATTTGTAGCTTGCCATAATATCTCGAAGGACGTATTTGAGTTGTTTTCTTCCGGAGAAATGAGGAGAACGCTCGCATCGGCTCCGCCTAGTTTGAGTGACCCATCAAAGTACATCTTCCATTGGTCAAGGATTGTATCGATAAAGGTCTTTGAATCTCTCGTCCACTCGCCACAAAATCGGCAAGGGCTTGAGATTTGATTGCTTTCCGTGGGGTGAAGTCGATGTTAAGAGCTCCATGTTCAACTTCCCACTTTGATATCGTAAATCACACATCTCATTGTGTAAGATGTCTCCGAGCGGGAAGTCTGTCACCACGGTAATCTTGTGGCTTTCGAAATAGTGGCGTAAGCTTGCTTGTGAGGTGATACGTAGAGCGTAGAGTAGTTTTTTGTACATGCGGATACCGGATTTTTGATTCGAGATAATACTTCACGATGTAGTATACAGGTCGTACTTTATACACGCGTCCTTCTTCTTCTCTTTCTACGACTATTGTCGTGCTGACTACAGCAGTAGTCGCCGCAATGTATAGCATCATATCTTCGTCTTTCCTTGGGGGTGTGAGAATTGGTGAGGATGTGAGATATGCCTTAAGTTTCTTGAAAGCTTCGTCGGCCTCCTTTGTCCATTCAAACTTGTCTGTCTTCTTTAGTAGTTTAAAGAAAGTTAACCCCTTTTCGCCGAGTCTTGATATGAAACGGTTGAGGGCCGCCATGCATCCTGTTAGTTTCTGTACATCTTTGATACTTCTAGGTGGCCCCATTTCTGTTATAGCTCGAATTTGCTTGGTGCTGGCTTCAATCCCGCGCTGACTGACCAAAAATCCGAGTAATTGTTCTGAAGTACATCTTCCAGTGGTTCAACTTCCATCTCCATCTCTTCAAGGTGAGTCAGGGCCTAAGATCATAACACTTCATAATCAATCCAACGCAAAGGCCAACGCCGATGGGACGAGGTCGTTACTCGATCTACGATCGAGGGTCCGAAACCAGATAAATCGATTGTCTCTTTGCGTTTACCATCGAGTTCAAAGATATGCCAAGCTCGAACATACCGCCTGCCTGGTACCCCCGTGGCAACGGAGCCACTACTGAAGAAATTCGGGAGTTATGAAAGAAGCTTGGACTCATATTGTTCACGGGTTGAGAGCGGAGTTGAACTCTAGGAGGTCGAATCTCCCTTGTTCCTCAAGAGCTCGTAATCCTACTAGGAAATCTCATTGTAAATCGACTAGGACTCGCCTCTCGACTATATAAAGGAGGCGGGGCTCCCTGAGAGAGGACGACAATGGTACAACATAACACTTCATAATCAATCCAACGCAAAGGCCAACGCCGACTGGACGTAGGGTCGTTACTTTTGTTCAAAAGTGCACATCAGCCGGAGAAAAGACAAAGAAGACCATCTCAAGATTTCACTTCAAAGAAGAACCCGGAACAAGTCTACAAACAACCCGCCCTTGAAGCTCAATCATGAAATGCTCGGGGGCTTGTCGATGCGGGACCCATAAGGTTCCCCACGGAGAGAGAGAGAAGACCTAGTCCAACTAGGATTCCCTACATATAATCCTATTAGGACTAGTTACACGTAATCCTACTAGGATCTCTACTTTGTAATCGACTAGGACTCCCGCCTCTCTGAACTATATAAAGGAGGGCGGGGGTCCCTAGATCGGCGACTAACACACACACAATTTGGATTGGTTAGGCTGCTTTGCGCCCCGAGGCTGTGGGGGGTTTGAATCCCCACCAGGCGCGATCACCGTCGATGTTTCACCATCGATAGCTTCGCCACGGGGTACCCAAGGCAAGATATGTTCGAGCTTCGGCGTATGTTGAACTTCGATGGTAAACGCAAGAGACAATCGATTTATCTGGTCCAGCCCTCGATCGTAGATCGAGTGCGACCTCACGTCCAATCGGCGTTGGCCTTTGCGTTGGATTGATTATGAAGTGTTATGTTGTACAATTGTCCCTCTCTCAGAGCCCCGCCTCCTTTATATATAGTCGGAGGCTAGAGTCCTAGTCGGTTTACAATGAGATTTCCTAGTAGGATTACTTAATAGTTCTATTACTAAGATTACATGGGAAGAATCCTAGTTGAACTAGATCTTCTCTCTCTCCTTATGGGTATCCTGTGGGTCCCGCAGATCGACACTCGGCTCCCGCGTCGGCGCCGCGCGACGTCCAGGTGCTGGTGACCGCCACCGCCCTCCTCTCGCTGCTCCTCCTTTGTCCCCGTGCTGGCCGTGACTGTTCGAGGCACCGTGGTCGGCCTCGGCGGCTGGCCGCATCTGTTACTGCATTTTAGATCCCTTCCTCGCTGGCGACTAGGGAAGACTAATCTGCATTGGCATCAGCTTGTTGCTATGAATTGGGGATTACTACTCTACATTGGCAATCTCCTGTGAGGAGAAAGAGCGTGATTTGGGGCAATCCTGACACACCAGATTAGATAGATGGTGCCTGAGTGCATTGACAGACAGCAGCAGAGTTCCAGGGATTGGCCACTGACAGGCTACCACCGGTGATCTTCTGAACAATCTGTGCATTTGTTGATTCTTTTGGATTGTATATTATGTTAGGTTGGATTAATTAGTTATGAAATTACAAGAAGGAATTATACTGTCAGCTGATTCATCCTATTAGTTATGATCTCTTTTATTAAGCGATTCTGATTTTTTTACGAAATACATTTGGTTACAGATGGCTGATGAGGGAGAAAGTTCTTCTGATGAGTTGCAGTCTTCTAATAATGATGTAAGAAGTGTGTTTGTTAATTTCTTTCTCAATTTTGTTTAGTTGAAGTAGCAGTCAGATAACCAAATGTTTCGTGTTTTATTAGTTAGTGTGCTAACTATGTTCTTTTATTTAGGAATCTCGTTCTTCTGGTACTGGTGATGATAATACCACTGATGAGGATGGGAGTGACAGCGGTGAGAGCACCAGAACTGAATCCTTAGTGAGTGATGTTTTGGTCTATTTATATATTCAACTTGTATGGTTAAGTTTCGTTTGCAAGTTAGTATGTTCGACTTGCATGTTTAAGTTTCTGCTCATAACTTGTATATTCAACTTGTATGTTCAATTTGCACACATAACTTGTATGGTTTAGTTTTGTTCTGCTCATAATTCCTTGTACGTATTAGTTTTGTTTGCAAGTTTCTAAATTATATGTTTAAATTTTCTTTGTAACTTTTTATTTCTGACTATCTGTACTCAAATGGTTGTGTTGATTTCTTGAGTACTTATTATACCTAACCTGTTTTATATGAAATAGTAGTTGTTATTTTTTACTCTCAGTTTTTTTTTTTGTTTTTTCTAAGTGATCTTGAGGTTGTTACCTGATTTGCACCTGATGTCTTCCATGAACTAGTCGTTTGGAACCATTATTGTGGTCCTAACCTAGCTTGTTGTTCTAATTTGTTCTTTTAGTTATTTTCCTAGGTGATAATATTGATGTATGATGCTTGTGCGAGTTACCTTTCTTTGTTTTTTCTAAGTGATCTTGAGGTTGTTACCTGATTTGCACCTGATGTCATCCATGAACTAGTCGTTTGGAACTATTATTGTGGTCCTGACCTAGCTTATTGTTTTAATTTGTTCTTTTAGTTATTTTCCTAGGTGATAATATTGATGTATGATGCTTGTGCGAGTTACCTTTCTTCTGATTAGGAACTTTGTTATGGACAAATGTTAAGAAGAAATGTTTTCTACCATCTTTTCCTAGAATATATTTTACAAGGTAGATATTAAACTTATTCAATAAGGTGTTTGCAAACCCTTTTTTTGAAGCATAAGGTATTCTTTTTTGATAAACTTTTGTTGAACTTGTTGAATAAGCTTTTTGTTTGCAAGTTAGTATGTATGTTCAACTTGCATGTTTAAGTTTCTGCTCATAACTTGTATGCTCAACTTGTACAATTTGCACACATAACTTGTATGGTTTAATTTTGTTCTACAAGTTATTAAGATAGTATTGTATGTTCTATTTTTGCATACATAACTTGTGTGGTTTACTTACTAACTAGTCTTTCTTTATTTTTTTCAGACATTCAACACTCAATTTTCAATGCATAAGTTGACGAAACTGATATGTGCTCTTACTGAACCTCAGAAACGGCTGATTGATCAATGTGGGTTTGGTTCCATACTTAAGCTGAAATGTAGAAACATGCCTTATAAGCAGCTCATTGTCTGGTTGGCAAGGTACTATGATGAGAAGACACAGTGTATCAAAATTCTAGGGACTCGTGCATTCAAGATTGATGCTCTGACAGTCCATTGGATTCTTGGAATTCCTCATGGTCGAGCTAAGATAAAAGCAAGAGCTTCTCAGGAGGTCAAGTCTGTTATTGCTAATGATACAACTCCAGGACCGTTAGCACCAAAGATTCAAGATCTTATTGCCATGATTACTCCTGAGCTTGTGGGGGACAGATTTGTTAGGATCTTCATGTTAGTAGTCCTCTCTATATTTCTGTGCCCGACCAGTTCGACCAGAGCCAGCTGTCATTACTATGAGGGAATCCGTTTAGTAAAAAAGATCAAGTCTTATGATTGGTGTGATGCAGTGATGAGTTCTTTGAAATCTGGGCTTTCTAAATTCCAAAAGTATGTGGGTAAAGGGAATACTTGTGAGAAAGCGACTTTGTCTGGTTGCATTTTTGTCCTATTTGTAAGTATTTCTTTTTAGTGATCACACGTTCCTTTTATTTTCTAGTTAAATTGTGCACTGTTTGCTAGTAAATTGTTTTTAGAGAATTTTACATGTATGCAATTTCAAATGATTCTTTATGAAAATAGAATAATCAAATTTGCATACCAGGTGCTTTGTGCTGTAAAGGCAGAGTTGAATGTTTTTTCTCTTTACCAAGGGCAAGCATGGGCATGGACATTGAGCAGGGCAGAGAAGGCCTGGCATAGGATGTAATTCATCTCAATTATGCATAGTGGCTACACTGAGTGTGCAGTTTAGGCATGTGCATTGTTTTAATTGTTATGGTGTACTGTGTAATGTAAAAGGATATTTCTATCAAAAATACAAATCTTCCCAATTGAATTGTAGTTTAGATAGACATGATATGACTGGTATAAACCAGAATCTACATAGATACGTTTCTTTGTTATGGGTTTTGTCATTTATATGTCTTAGTGTTTGACTTTGTTATTATTTGAATGCAGACTGCCTACTTTGATTATCTGGGTTCAGAGATCAATATTGTTCCGCAGACTATACCTCGTATTGATGCTTGGACTGATGATTTTGTTGATCAGTATATGGTACTTTACCCAAAATTTAAAAAGATGGAGGTAATGTTATAATGCAAATTTTGACTTTCAAGTTTCCTTTTCTTTTTTTTTGTGAGATATTTCTGGAGTTTAGTTTAATTATGTACTGTTGATCTTGTAGATTAAAAAAGTTGAATGTACTGTTTTTGGGAAGACTCATTTCAATCAAAGAAGTACAAGAGATTCCTGTTTTGATGCTTCAAATGAGTCACCTTCTGCAGCAAATGTTGTTGGGCCATCTTCACAACATAAGACATCTAAGAAAGTGAAAATTTGGGTTCAACTTCCATCTCCATCTCTTCAAGGTGAGTCAGGGCCTAAGATCATAACACTTCATAATCAATCCAACGCAAAGGCCAACGCCGACTGGACGTAGGGTCGTTAGTCGATCTACGATCGAGGGTCTGAACCAGGATAAATCGACTGTCTCTTGCGTTTACCATCGAGTTCAGCATACGCCGAAGCCCGAACATACTGCCCCGGGTACCCCCGTGGCAACGGAGCCACTACGAAGAAATTCCGGGAGTTATGAAAGAAGCTTCGGACTCATATTGTTCACGGGTTGAGAGCGGGAGTTGAACTCTAGGAGGTCGAATCTCCCCTTGTTCCTCAGTAGCTCGTAATCCTACTAGGAAATCTCATTGTAAATCGACTAGGACTCTGGCCTCCTGACTATATAAAGGAGGGCAGGGCTCCTGAGAGAGGACGACAATGGTACAACATAACACTTCATAATCAATCCAACGCAAAGGCCAACGCCGACTGGACGTAGGGTCGTTACTTTTGTTCAAAAGTGCACATCAGCCGGAGAAAAGACAAAGAAGACCATCTCAAGATTTCACTTCAAAGAAGAACCCGGAACAAGTCTACAAACAACCCGGCCCTTGAAGCTCAATCATGAAATGCTCGGGGGCTTGTCGATGCGGGACCCATAAGGTTCCCCACGGAGAAGAGAGAAGAAGACCTAGTCCAACTAGGATTCCCTACATATAATCCTATTAGGACTAGTTACACGTAATCCTACTAGGATCTCTACTTTGTAACTGACTAGGACTCCCGCCTCTCCTGAACTATATAAAGGAGGGCAGGGGTCCCTAGATCGGCAGCTAACACACACAATTTTTGGATTGGTTAGGCTGCTGCGGCCCCGAGGCCTGTGGGGGGTTTGAATCCCTACCGGGCGATCGGTGTCGATGTTTCACCATCGATAGCACCGCCACACGGGGTACCGAGGCAAGATATGTTCGAGCTTCGGTATCTTGAACTCGATGGTAAACGCAAGAGACAGTCGATTTATCCTGGTTCAGGCCCTCGATCGTAGATCGAGTAACGACCCTACGTCCAGTCGGCGTTGGCCTTTGCGTTGGATTGATTATGAAGTGTTATGTTGTACAATTGTCCCCTCTCTCAGGAGCCCTGCCCTCCTTTATATAGTCAGGAGGCTAGAGTCCTAGTCGGTTTACAATGAGATTTCCTAGTAGGATTACTTAATAGTTCTATTACTAAGATTACATGGGAAGAATCCTAGTTGAACTAGATCTTCTCTCTCCCTTGCGGGGTATCCTGTGGGTCCCGCATCGACACTCGGCTCCCGCGTCGGCGCCGCGCGACGTCCAGGTGCTGGTGACCGCCACCGCCCTCCTCTCGCTGCTCCTCCTTTGTCCCCGTGCTGGCCGTACTGTTCGAGGCACCGTGGTCGGCCTCGGCGGCTGGCCGCATCTGTTACTGCATTTTAGATCCCTTCCTCGCTGGCGACTAGGGAAGACTAATCTGCATTGGCATCAGCTTGTTGCTATGAATTGGGGATTACTACTCTACATTGGCAATCTCCTGTGAGGAGAAAGAGCGTGATTTGGGGCAATCCTGACACACCAGATTAGATAGATGGTGCCTGAGTGCATTGACAGACAGCAGCAGAGTTCCAGGGATTGGCCACTGACAGGCTACCACCGGTGATCTTCTGAACAATCTGTGCATTTGTTGATTCTTTTGGATTGTATATTATGTTAGGTTGGATTAATTAGTTATGAAATTACAAGAAGGAATTATACTGTCAGCTGATTCATCCTATTAGTTATGATCTCTTTTATTAAGCGATTCTGATTTTTTTTTACTTAAATACATTTGGTTACAGATGGCTGATGAGGGAGAAAGTTCTTCTGATGAGTTGCAGTCTTCTAATAATGATGTAAGAAGTGTGTTTGTTAATTTCTTTCTCAATTTTGTTTAGTTGAAGTAGCAGTCAGATAACCAAATGTTTCGTGTTTTATTAGTTAGTGTGCTAACTATGTTCTTTTATTTAGGAATCTCGTTCTTCTGGTACTGGTGATGATAATACCACTGATGAGGATGGGAGTGACAGCGTGAGAGCACCAGAACTGAATCCTTAGTGAGTGATGTTTTGGTCTATTTATATATTCAACTTGTATGGTTAAGTTTCGTTTGCAAGTTAGTATGTTCGACTTGCATGTTTAAGTTTCTGCTCATAACTTGTATATTCAACTTGTATGTTCAATTTGCACACATAACTTGTATGGTTTAGTTTTGTTCTGCTCATAATTCCTTGTACGTATTAGTTTTGTTTGCAAGTTTCTAAATTATATGTTTAAATTTTCTTTGTAACTTTTTATTTCTGACTATCTGTACTCAAATGGTTGTGTTGATTTCTTGAGTACTTATTATACCTAACCTGTTTTATATGAAATAGTAGTTGTTATTTTTTTTACTCTCAGTTTTTTTTTTGTTTTTCTAAGTGATCTTGAGGTTGTTACCTGATTTGCACCTGATGTCTTCCATGAACTAGTCGTTTGGAACCATTATTGTGGTCCTAACCTAGCTTGTTGTTCTAATTTGTTCTTTTAGTTATTTTCCTAGGTGATAATATTGATGTATGATGCTTGTGCGAGTTACCTTTCTTTGTTTTTTCTAAGTGATCTTGAGGTTGTTACCTGATTTGCACCTGATGTCATCCATGAACTAGTCGTTTGGAACTATTATTGTGGTCCTGACCTAGCTTATTGTTTTAATTTGTTCTTTTAGTTATTTTCCTAGGTGATAATATTGATGTATGATGCTTGTGCGAGTTACCTTTCTTCTGATTAGGAACTTTGTTATGGACAAATGTTAAGAAGAAATGTTTTCTACCATCTTTTCCTAGAATATATTTTACAAGGTAGATATTAAACTTATTCAATAAGGTGTTTGCAAACCCTTTTTTGAAGCATAAGGTATTCTTTTTGATAAACTTTTGTTGAACTTGTTGAATAAGCTTTTTGTTTGCAAGTTAGTATGTATGTTCAACTTGCATGTTTAAGTTTCTGCTCATAACTTGTATGCTCAACTTGTACAATTTGCACACATAACTTGTATGGTTTAATTTTGTTCTACAAGTTATTAAGATAGTATTGTATGTTCTATTTTTGCATACATAACTTGTGTGGTTTACTTACTAACTAGTCTTTCTTTATTTTTTTCAGACATTCAACACTCAATTTTCAATGCATAAGTTGACGAAACTGATATGTGCTCTTACTGAACCTCAGAAACGGCTGATTGATCAATGTGGGTTTGGTTCCATACTTAAGCTGAAATGTAGAAACATGCCTTATAAGCAGCTCATTGTCTGGTTGGCAAGGTACTATGATGAGAAGACACAGTGTATCAAAATTCTAGGGACTCGTGCATTCAAGATTGATGCTCTGACAGTCCATTGGATTCTTGGAATTCCTCATGGTCGAGCTAAGATAAAAGCAAGAGCTTCTCAGGAGGTCAAGTCTGTTATTGCTAATGATACAACTCCAGGACCGTTAGCACCAAAGATTCAAGATCTTATTGCCATGATTACTCCTGAGCTTGTGGGGGACAGATTTGTTAGGATCTTCATGTTAGTAGTCCTCTCTATATTTCTGTGCCCGACCAGTTCGACCAGAGCCAGCTGTCATTACTATGAGGGAATCCGTTTAGTAAAAAAGATCAAGTCTTATGATTGGTGTGATGCAGTGATGAGTTCTTTGAAATCTGGGCTTTCTAAATTCCAAAAGTATGTGGGTAAAGGGAATACTTGTGAGAAAGCGACTTTGTCTGGTTGCATTTTTGTCCTATTTGTAAGTATTTCTTTTTAGTGATCACACGTTCCTTTTATTTTCTAGTTAAATTGTGCACTGTTTGCTAGTAAATTGTTTTTAGAGAATTTTACATGTATGCAATTTCAAATGATTCTTTATGAAAATAGAATAATCAAATTTGCATACCAGGTGCTTTGTGCTGTAAAGGCAGAGTTGAATGTTTTTTCTCTTTACCAAGGGCAAGCATGGGCATGGACATTGAGCAGGGCAGAGAAGGCCTGGCATAGGATGTAATTCATCTCAATTATGCATAGTGGCTACACTGAGTGTGCAGTTTAGGCATGTGCATTGTTTTAATTGTTATGGTGTACTGTGTAATGTAAAAGGATATTTCTATCAAAAATACAAATCTTCCCAATTGAATTGTAGTTTAGATAGACATGATATGACTGGTATAAACCAGAATCTACATAGATACGTTTCTTTGTTATGGGTTTTGTCATTTATATGTCTTAGTGTTTGACTTTGTTATTATTTGAATGCAGACTGCCTACTTTGATTATCTGGGTTCAGAGATCAATATTGTTCCGCAGACTATACCTCGTATTGATGCTTGGACTGATGATTTTGTTGATCAGTATATGGTACTTTACCCAAAATTTAAAAAGATGGAGGTAATGTTATAATGCAAATTTTGACTTTCAAGTTTCCTTTTCTTTTTTTTTGTGAGATATTTCTGGAGTTTAGTTTAATTATGTACTGTTGATCTTGTAGATTAAAAAAGTTGAATGTACTGTTTTTGGGAAGACTCATTTCAATCAAAGAAGTACAAGAGATTCCTGTTTTGATGCTTCAAATGAGTCACCTTCTGCAGCAAATGTTGCTGGGCCATCTTCACAACATAAGACATCTAAGAAAGTGAAAAAGGTAGATTGGCCATCTTTAACTATTTCATGAATTGGTCAGCACTACATATACTGAATTGCTGACATTTTTTTTTGCTTCTGTTGTGCAGCAGAGCACAAAGGGTCCTTCACATACACTTCTACATGAAAATGTGCAAATTGATAGGTATTCTGCGCAGAGAGTAATTCCTGACTGTACTGATTCTGGTTTTCGTGTTTTCTCTGGAGAGGAACTGCATCTTGATGTTGACAAGTATATTCGTTCTATTGCTGGCACTGATTGTAGCAATGAGGTAGTTTTATTTTTCTATTCATTTGGATATTTATTTGTGTTTATATGGTTATACATGGCTTCATTTATGTCTAGCTTGGGTCAGTTTTTTTTGTTACTATATTATGAATTTTCTATTTATGTCATTACAATATTGAGAGCAATAACGCGGGTCTCTATGAACCAATTTGGTTTCATGCCCGGAAGGTTAACCATGGAAGCCATTTTCTTAATAAGACAAGTTATGGAGCGGTATAGGGAGAAGAAGAAGGATCTACACATGGTTTTTATTGACTTGGAGAAGGCTTATGATAAAATACCAAGGAATGTTATGTGGTGGGCTTTGGACAAACATAAAGTCCCAATGAAGTACGTCGGGCTTATTAAGGACATGTACAATAATGTTGTGACTAGTGTTTGAATAAGTGATGGAGACACGGATGACTTCCTGATTAGTATAGGACTATATCAAGGGTCAGCTCTAAGCCCTTATCTGTTTGCCATAGTGATGGATGAGGTCACAAGGACATATAAGGAGACATCCCTTGGTGTATGCTTTTTGCGGACGATGTAGTGCTAGTTAATGAAAGCTGAACAGAAGTGAATCAGAAATTAGAGTTATGGCGGGAGACTTTGGAGTCCAAAGGTTATATGAGATGTGACTTCGGCACTACTACTCGGGAGGAGGAAGATATTAGTTTGGAAGGTCAAGTAGTGCCTAGGAAGGATACCTTTCGATATTTAGGATCAATGCTACAGAGAGACGGGGATATTGATGAAGATGTTAGCCATAGAATCAAAGCAGGGTGGATGAAGTGACGTCAAACATCTGGTGTCCTATGTGACAAAAGGTACCACAGAATCTAAAAGGCAAGTTTTATAGAACGGCGATTAGACCTGCTATGTTGTATGGTGCAGAACGTTAGCCTACGAAAAGACGACATGTTCAACAGATAAGTGTCGCGGAAATACGTATGTTGCGTTGGATTTACGGTTATTAAAAAAGGGATCGAGTTCGGAACGATGATATACATGATAGATTATGGGTAGCACCAATTGAAAAAAAGCTTGTCCAGCAACGGTTGAGATGGTTTGGACATATCCAACGGAGACATCCAGAGGCACCGGTGCGTAGTGGAATCCTAAGCCAGGATAGTAACGTGAAGAGAGAGGAAGACCGAAGTTGACTTGGGTAGAGGCAATAAAAGGAGACTTGAAAGGATGGAATATACCCAAAGACTTAGCCTTAGATAGGAGTGCTTGGAAAACAGCTATTCACGTGCTCGAACCTTGATGGCTTCTGCTGGGTTTTAACTCTAGCGTATCCTAACTTGTTTGGGACTTAAAATGCTTTGTTGTTGTTGTTGTTGATGTCATTACAATATGCAACTGTTTGATTTGTAGTTATGTACATATAAGTTGTATTGTGTAACTTGGTTACATAAGTTATGTACAGCCACTTATGCACATAAGCATAACTAAAAATACAGTAGTGTATATATATTATTAGTTTTTTAACTTATGTATGGGAGTGTGTTGCACAACTTATGTACATTAGTTGTATTGAGTAACTTCTGTGCACAAGTTGTGTTGCGTAACTTTGTTCTTTCGAAGTTATGCCATGAGTTGTTCCTAAATGTATTTTTTTTGTGCAGAAAATTTGCATGCTGAATGTATTATATTTTTTTAATCGCTGATGCTGATGTTCATAATTTTTCCCATTTTGTTAATCAGGTGTTTGTGAATTTGAGGAACTTATGCCAGTCTTTCTTCAAAGATTCATTTAGGAAGTATATTTCGTCTGTTGAGCCGGTTATTGTGAGTCAGTCTTGTGCATTGGTCAAATCTTATTTGTCTGGTCTTCAACAATCTCACACTGAGAAAGTATCCGGTGATCCTTCTAAAGAGAATGTAGATGATGATACTTCAAGTGCAAATACTGATGGTTTTCTAAAATTGTCAATTCACACTGACAAAATAGTTGGTGGTAGTTCAAATTGGAAAGACCATGATGGTAGTTCAAATCTGGATATTGCTGCCTCTGAAAAATTGCCAATTGACACTCAGATGGGAGATGCTAGTCCTTCAAAAGACAAAGAAGATGATGCTCCTTCAAATCCAGTTGCTCATGGTAATAAGAAATTGTCAATTAAACAAATGAGGCGAGCCTTGGCTAGGAAATTGGCCGCGGTGATTTGAATAAGAGCTCGGCGTCAAGACCTGTGGCGTCGAGATACCTGTCACATCATCGCCACTTCACCCACCGTTGTTCATATGCTTGTACCTATGTGATCGTTGAACTGAGTACTGAGTGATCTTTCGTGCTGCTATTAGTATTAGGGGCATGCTTGGTTCCCGGAAGACGGACGTTCCCTCGCCTCGCTTTGCTTGGTCCCGCTGGCTGCTGGCTCCAACCCAATCATTCTCGGACACTTTGCTTTGCCGGCTGGGGCAAGGCGTGGCTGGCGAGGCGAGCAACGATGACAAGGCTCCAAGCATGCCCTTGTTCAGGTGTACAGTAAATAGTTAGTGCTTGTCCGCTTGGCTTTCTCGCGTGTGTAATAATTGAATCATGCCGCCGTATAATCAGTACAGGTTTTCTATCTTCAGATCTGATGAGAATGAGCTGAACGAAAAAGTGTGATGACTAGCAGTCACTTCGATAATTCATACTACATGAAATTGAGCCCAAAAAGAAAGTTTTAGAATTGAGTCAGTCACTTTGATAGCTATGGGAGCCCAAAAGTGATACTTCCTCCGTAAAAAAAAATGTAATCGTAGGTTTCGTGCCGGTCAAATTGATAAAAGTATTAGTATTTATATCTCTAAATAAATTTATTATGCAAATATATTTTGTACTAATCTAATAGTATTTATTTTGTATTATAAATATTGATATTTTTTATATAACTTTAGTTAAAGTTTAAACTGTTTGATTTCTCAAAAAGCGAGAATTGTATTTCTAGTGACAAGTAGTAGTTATATAAATATATTTTATACTAAATCGGTAATTCAAAAAATTAGAAACGAAATTAAACCGTAGACAAGGGTAAAATAAATTTTCTACTAAACACCTTTTCAAATTCTAATTCTTGGAATCATACATCATCATACAGATCTTCAGTTTCTGAGACACGCTCCCAACAGTATCCTCTGCCACAGTCTACAGTGCCGCTTTCCCGAGCGCCGCTCGACCCGCCGCCGCCGGAGCCTCGTCTCCATCGTCGCGTCCCTCTTCCCCGCACGCGCTCCTCGCCCTCTCTGCCCGTTGCGGCCGCGGCTCCATCGCCGCCTCCCTCTTTCCCGCACACGCTCCTCGCCCTCTCTGCCCGCCGGCGCCGCCGCAGGGTCTCGCCTCCATCGCCGCCTCCCTCTTCCCTGCACGCGCTCCTCGCCATCTCTGCCAGGGCCGCTCCTCCGTACTGGCCTGCCCCTGCGCCCGTGCGGCTCCTGCTCTTCCAGCCAGCAATATTTCGTCGTCCTGGCCTCGCCCTCAGGCCGTGCGGTTCCTGCTCCTCCAGCCAGCAGTACACGTCTCCCTTCAGTTAAATCGTGTTTCGTATACAACGTTCTTCATCTTGCGTGGGATTGCTGCCTTGATTTCAGCCTACCCTATGTAAGTCATCCTCTCTTTATGATTTCAATTTTATAAAGCTATATACACATTACAGTATACAAATCTGTAACAATTTCGAATTAGCTTTTGCACGATTTTTTTTGTTCTCTCCACGCTCCAGGTTTCCTATTCACATGCCCCTTTCTATGATGTGCGAAACTGTGGCAATTCCGTATTAGCTTTTAGACGATTTCTTTGTTCTGTCCATGCTCCATATTTTGTTGCAGCGAAAATTGTTTAGGCCCTGTTGGGTTGAGCTGTGGCTGTGGGAAAAAGCTGTTGTGGGCTATGAGCTGTGGAAAAGCTGCTGTGGGCTGTGAGCTGTAGAAAAGCTGAAAGCTGTTTGGTTAAACAAGTATAAAATATACCTTTTATCTTTATTTCTCTTGAAACAACTATGGAAGAGCTTTTTATTCCACCAATTTCGAAAAGCAGAAAGCCAAAAGCCAAAAGCAGGGTCAACCCAGCTTTCAAAAATGAACTACGGAAAAGCAGCTGCTTCTGAAAAAGCACCCTCCAAAAGCAGCCCCTTTGGTTGGGCTTTTGGCTTTTGGGGCCAAAAGCCAAAGCCAAAAGCCCAACCAAACAGGGCCTTAGTCTTCAGCTCTATTTTTTTTTTTGAACGGAAGTCTTCAGCTCTATTTTCCTACCTCTATGCGCACAATCAGATTTTCCATAGTCCACAAGATATTATCGTTAACAGTTGCTTTGTTTTCCATCATCCAAAAATTACCGTTACTAAATGCATCTGTTCTGTTATCTTCAGCTCCTCCTTTGGTTTGGTCTCATGGAACTATAGTCATATACTCCTTTGCCTTTGCAATTTCTCGCATTTGTGGGAGTTACTCCAAAGAAGAGAATACAGTTGAGGTGCTATGCTGCTTTCTCCACGATTGTGATATGCAGAATCCTATATCACTAATGCTTTCTGAATAAAAAAATATCACTTCTATCAAATTTTCTGTTAATCCTAGACTCCTCTTTGCCGAAAGGGCTTAATTATATCTAACACCTTTTATAAATCCTGGAGTTCCATTACCTATTAATTTCAGACCTTAGCAGGAAAGCAGGTTACCCATTCTCTATACTAGCAAGTGCTACTTTGCGATCTTCACAGACCTGCTATCCCAATCAGCAGCAGGTTACCCTTGCTGATTTCTGACTGCATAGTTATATCCCCCTTTCCTTTTTTGAACATACACATAGGTACGAATTTGGTATCCCATTGGGTGTTCGAGGTTTGTTAGACTGCTTGTGCATATATTGTTTGTGTTGTTTATAGGTAAAAAAAGAAGCACTAAGTACACCCCAGTTACCCATTTAGTAGGACTCATTATAACTCATACAAATCATCTGTTTTTTTTTGTTAGGAGGTAGTTTCAAGAATGTCGACAGTTTCTGCTCTGAATTTGTATTGATGTACTTATAGTGTTTTTCTTCTAAAAACATATGGGACAAGTATAATGTTACCTCTAATATAGTTCTATGGCTACGATATATGTGGTCGATGTCGACCTGAAATAGTACTTGTGGTCGATATATTCTGGTGCTGATTACTGCTCCCATCAACCAAATTTATCTGTACATTGCCATGCACATCCCCTATGGGCGTGGTGAAGTGCGCCTATTTACACCATTTTTTTCGTTGTTCTCGCTTCCCACCGCTCTCTGCTTCGTATTCAGTTACCCCTTTGTTATTATGCCTCCATTCTATAGTTTCTATGGCTGCAATCAACTTTTACCTAATCTAAGAGTTAGCATTGGATGCCTGATGTTTCATACAGCCTCTAATGCTTCCTACGGTATTGAACCTGCAGCGATAGGCCAATGTCAACCCCTATTGACGCACCAACACCTAATACACATTGCAGACACAGACATGTTTCCGCCGCTTCTTTACTTCCTGGTTAGTAGTTTCCTGTATATCTTCTTTACTTCCTGGTTAGTGGTTTCCTGTATATCTACTTTCCATCTCGTCTGTGTCATTTTTCTTACTATTGAGGATTTGCACTGATATTGTTTCCTTGCTGCTTCATACAACATTGGCAGGTGATGCAGCTGATGACTTTCCTACAACCTTCCATGTCCCATCAAAACGTTCTGCATGTCGTCGCTTACCTGCTCAGCCTACTGGTATAGCACCTCATCTTTTCATCTTTTAGTTTACATATATTGTCCCATCAAAACATACATTATCCGATGTTCAACGATGCTATGGTGCTGCCTCGTGCAGAGACATTACCATGTAATGCGCAACGTAAACGAAACCGGTCTTTCACACCTTCGTCAGCTCCAGGTTAATACATGCTATATGTCTGAATGTGTGCTCCTAGCAGTGTAGTTCTTCTGCTTCACTTATATAAAATTACTTTCCTTCACTTCTTTACAGAGCCTATTGTTTCTCATACAGTTCATGGCGCATTTAGTGGGACCAATTTGGACATTCCTGATGACTTCCCAACAACTTTTCATATAAGACGCTCTACGCGCCGTCGCCTAGCTGCTCAGCCTACTGGTATTATCGCTTACCTATTTCTTTCCTTTCATCTCTCCACTTGTATTTTGCTTGCTCTGTTTCATAATTCCTGATTGTAAAGCGCTAGCCCTAATGGATATGTTATGAAACCCATCATGTTCATGTTTCTTATTCAAACCATGATACCTTATTTTATTTTCCTTTCCTTCTTTTTCCTATCACATTCACAGTTTGTGCCTTACTATTTATGCCCCTACTCAGAAATACCATGCCCGGATGTTGCTCATGCCGATCCATGCCAGAAACATATGGCTACTACATCCGCCACCTTACGGCAATGTTAGTTGTATCCATACACTTTGACAGCCCCTACGGACCGTCCCCTACATAAGCTCCTAATTTTTCCTTACTAACTTTGTAGTCTGAATTCTGAAATGAGCCCTTCAAACCACCATACTGCCTCCCCCTGTTGCACCCATCAACATAATCCTTCCATTATCTTAAATGAGCCGTCAGGCAATGTTGCATGGTGTGCTGTGACATCCTCTCAGTCAATTCTTCTTACTGGTATGCAAAAAGATTTGCCATTGTTAATTCCAGACCCTTGCTTTGGACAATTCATATCTATGTCAACTCTAGATACAGTAGGGACAAAATATCCCCGTTCAAAATGTCGCCTTTACTTCAGGTGTTCAAGCTCCAAATGTAATATGCTTATTACATAATGATTATATTCAATGCAAGAATTGTTAGTCACCATACCCACGGCAAAGTGTGGGGTACCACCTAGTAACAAGTAAATAACTTTTGATGAGGGCTGTACAGTGAATCAGTGATGGGTGGGCTGTGGGCAGGAGGAGCCGTGGAGTGGGAGGTCACAACTCACAAAACCCCCGTTCCCCACCAGGCAGTGGCAAGCAAGGCAAGAAAGCAAAACCCCTCTTCATCTACGCCTTCTTCCTCTGGAGTAGCCATGGCCCCCGCCGGCGGAGGCGACAAGGTGGGAGAGTCCGGCGGACCATCCAAGCGCCACCGAGTCGAGCGAAGAGATGGTGGTGGTAAAGGCACCCCGTAACTTATCACATTTTCTTTTTTCTTACTTATTTTTGTTTGTGAGGGCACCTTCAGCCCTTGATCTGGTAGTACTACTCCTGTGCAGTTTAGTTTATCTACTTCGTCTCTAGTAATGTTCTTTGTGGTTAAGCGGCGTAGTTGGATACCTAGTCTGATGGCATTTCGACTACCAGGTTACTAATTCCTTCACTTTCATTTTTCCCCAATCTGCGACCTTGGTTGAAGTAGCATACTTTTTTGGCCTTCAGGAGTAACAATCTGAATATCTGAGTGGTGGAGCTTGTAGGAATAGAGTAGCATACACATCTTATTGTTTAATTTTACTGACAGAAAAATTGCAGATTGTGTTGGGTTATCTCATTCTCTCATTCCTTTTACTATGTTTCTTTTTGTTCAATAGTGCTGTGTTATATTCTGAGGAACAGACTTTGTGATATATCACTCACCTTGCTGTACCTGTGGTGGGCTATCTAGCCTAAATTTACGTACTGAAGGGAAATGTGATCTTTGTTGATACAGCGAAAGAAGGTCAGAGTCTTGGGGTGGAATCTGGAAGTGGGAAGAGCAAAGATCCAGTTATGTCCAAAGGTTGGATAGGTCTGGTTGGGATAAGTCTGAAAACCCACTTCAGTATATCACACTCTTCTTCATTCCATGGCTTTAATAGTTGTTGCTTATGGGGCAGAATGTTTGGAGGTGAGTTGTGAAGATTCTCAGAGGATTATAAAGGAGATCGAAGACTTGAAGTCTGAACTAGATGAGGATTTACGACAGCTTGGATACTGCGAGGAGAATGAGAAGCTGAGAGCTGAGCTGGCTGTGAAGGTGAAAGAGGTGCATTGCCTGATGAAGCGGATTGAGGAGCTGGAAGCTAAGAATGACTTACTGAAGAAGCGGACTGAGGAGCTGGAAGCCATTAATGATGGCCTGCCAAAGCGGAACGAGAAGCTGCAGGCCAAGAATGACGACCTAACGAAGCAGAACAAGGAGCTGCAGGCCGAGAATGAAGACCTAACTAAGCAGAACAAGGAGCTGCAGGCAAGGAACGCCGGCCTGAACAAGGGGAATGAGGAGATGCAAGCCAAGAATGATGATGACCTCCATAAGAATGTAAGCTTTAAGAAGAAGATAATCACAACAATACACCTCTTATATTTATTACACTTGTACTACAGATGTAGCCTGCCCTTACAGCTTCCTATCTTCATATGGAAATCCAGTTCAATCAAAATGAGATCATGGATCATTAGAAGTTTGTGAATGTTAAATAAATTGAGGTAAAGTAGAAATGTTTAATTTGCAGTAACTTCTCTTGCTACCATTCTAGATTATGGAGATTCTGGAAATTCAGATTGATGCTAAGAGAAAGGACTTGCTGCAATTCTTAGGGCTGTATAGCATAATGGACTTTCCATATCCACAGCTTAAGTCGTCTGATGAAGGTATTCAATCTTTTACATGCCCCTTTTTTGTACGCCTGGTCATGTGAAGCTGCTCAAAATTCACTAAAATAGAGTAAAGCATCGGTTCTATTTATGCCATGTATTACATATTTGCAATTGATCCAGTTCCATCAAACCTAAAAAAATGATGCTGAAATTTATATAGATATTGCAGGTTCTTTTCTTCTCAGCTATGATTAGTAATGTTTAATCTTGTGTGAGTTTATATGAGTCTCATATGTCTTCTAAGTTCTAACCAATCTGATAGTGTAGTTGGTCTATTTTTACCCTCTTAATGAAATACGTGTCATGTTGCACGTTCGAAGAAAAAAATAGCGTAGTTGGTCGTGACCAGTCTTATTATGTCACAGCCCTGTTGTCAGAAGGTAACAAGATCGAGGCTTCTTCCGTTGTGGCTGCTGGTTCAGATCCAAAAATCCAGATCAAAGCCTTAATTTCTCAATTGTTAAGCTTGACACAGCAGGTTGTGAGTGCTGACTCCATTCAAGCCAAGGATGCTGAACTTGCCAATCAAAAAGAAGAGATTAAGTGTGAGTTTTCCTAATTCAATCACTAGTTCTGTGATTCTTACCATAATAGTCCTTATCTGCTGGGTACTTCTTTTTCAGCACCGAAGGCTTATCCGGGAGAGGAGAGCTGTTCAAATAAAAAGGACTTTAGTCAGCAGAAAATCGAAGATGGCGAAAAACTTGAGAAGGTTCTGAGAGCCACAAAAGCTATATTGGAACCATATCTGCTGAGAGAGACTGCTGAAGAGAGTCTGAAGGTAGTCCAAGCTGAACTTGAGGCAAACAAAAGCAGTCTTGCACAAGCTTTGTCTGACCGGGATTCCGCTTGCCAAGTCACTGGAAAAATGAAAGAAAACATTACCGAGTTGATGAATGAAATCAGTGATGATGAGGAGAATCTCTCCTCTTAATAGAGTTGGGCTCAGTGACACTGGAAATCTATTCAGATGAACATTGTTGGACTTGATAACCTGATCCAGGCCTGGGTATGCATCATGTATATATATGGCATGTGGACTGTGACGACCGGCGGTCGGACCACTAGAAGACCAAACCGAAGCCTAAAACGGTCGGTTCACTTAAAAGACCGTCCGTGCAATCGAACCAGTGAAAACCGTTTGAGCCGGCCGGTTTTTATGAAACCGGTGAACCGGCGGGTTCCAAATGAACCGCCCCAGTCTGGTTGCTGGCGTCCGTGCGGCGTGATTGAACTGCAGGTGTCCGTCTGTGCACTGTCGTAGGTGGGCCTGCCTGGCTGCTGCTGCGGGCCTGGTCACGACTCACGACGTGGTGTCTTCGTGTACCACTAACGTTGTTCACTTTGGTGACGTCAGCACTCTCTTTAATTAATTTTAAATTTTCAATAACTTTTTTGTATGAACTCTAAATTAGTCAAATAATATATTTATTTTGACTAACTTGATGAGTTCGTTGCGATGGTACATTCTATTTTAAAATTTAAAATTATCTTTGCAACAATAAATATATATGAATTATTATTCAATTTCCTTTTGCACCAATTCATATGTAGCTAATTATTTGTTGCATATTATTACATTGTATCGGTTCGAAGTATTTGTGGGCGGTTCAATTCATTGGTCCAAAATAATCGATAGGCGGTTCATCTGGTTCTTAACGGTTGGACCAGTGAACCTGTGAACCGACGACCTGCCGGTTCGATGTCCGGTCCGGTCGACTGTGGTGACGTGGCCTGTGAACTAACCCGTGGCTTTCGTGCTGCTGTTCTGAGGTGTCTGTATATTTGTTTAGGTATAAATAGTTAGTGCTTGCCTGCTTGGATTTCTCGTGTGTAATCATCTGCCCGTTCATGTGTAATCAGCTAATCATGCTATCTTATAACTCGAAAATGTCAGTGTAGCGCTAATCACACTAATCATCTGCCCGTTCTTAGGTGTCTCAGTGTCTGTATATTTGTATCCGGTAAGTCAGAGCGGCTACTCAAGCGGAAATTTGTTGTGTCCGCGCACACACAAGTTTTCTGGATTCCCTGGAAAACTACTATCTAAATAATGTTCTGGCTCTGAAGATGATTAGATGAATGAAAGGAGAAAAATGGCTCGAGACCTTCCGAGGACGATCAGCACGAGGGATTGAAAGGATGTATTCTTGTGAACTGTGACTGGGCCACAATGTTACGTCCAATCATTTTCTTCCAGGCAATGCAAGTAACTCGTTTTGGACTTAGACGACACAAGAAGATCTAGAGAGTAGATCCTGCATCAAATGGTTAAGAATCCGATAGGTTTTTTCAAAAAAATATATTAACAGATAAATAGCCATTCCCAAAAAATAAAATATAAAGGAAATACCACCACATCAGACTCGAGCACCGTGGTGTGCGATTGAAGCTACTCCCTCTGTTTCGTCTTGGGATTTACTAGCGCCTGGACGTTCGGAGCAGATGAGCGTGTCCGGACATCCTGTGTATGCTGCTGTCCCAGCCCGTGCTTGCCGCTGTGCCGAATCGCTGCTGCACGCGCACGTCCATCCCTTGTCCGCCCCGCCCCGCCCTGCCCCGCCCCGCACGTGCACCCCGGCTATGCCCGCGCACTCCTTCCCCTTGATCCCCTCCTCTCTCCGCTTGGGCGGGACCCGGGAGCCTGGATGAGGACGAGCACACCCCGTCTACAGGACCCTAGACGCGCCGTGTGCCCCATCTGCCGGTCCTCGGCTCGCCGCGCCCCTTCCCTCTGCGCCCGGGCCGTGCCCCATGACTCTCTGAACGTACCAATGAAACACGAAACACTTGCAACATAAAAAACACTTTAATGCAACATAAGTATGAAGCAGAAGAAACATTCGAAACATACACTTGCAGTATATGTGTAAAACATATGCAACATTCAGATAAAACACTTGCAACATGAAAAAACGTACTGCAACCTAAGAATGAAACAACTGAAACATTTAGAACATACGCTTGCAACATATGTATGAAACATATGCAACATCCAGATCAAAACGCTTGCAACATACATCTGAAACAAACGAAACACTTTACGAGACAAATTTTTTAAGCTTAATTAGTCTATGATTTAACCATATGGTGCTACAGTAAACATGTGCTAATGACAGATCAATTTAGCTTAATAAATTCGTCTCGCGGATTACTGAGGACTTGTGTAATTTGTTTTATTATTACTATCCGAACACTCCGATATGACACCCCCCATGTAACACCCGATGTGACACCCCTATAGCCTTTGGATTTAAACACCACCTTACAGCCTGTTCGATTGGCTGGTTCGTATCGTTGCTGGTTCGTTTATATGAGAGAGACGTACTGCTGGCTGGCTCATGTGAATAGTGCCTATGTGAGGGGGCTGGCCAACCCGCCCCAGCCGAACAAGCGGTTAGTAGTTTTCTTATAAAAGAGATTTCTGCACGAAACAAACATTCCAAAAGATAGACCCATGCCATAACTTGATCACTACGGACCTAATAAGTGGCAACATTGTGGGTCTTTAGAACAATTGACTCCCCCCTTTATATGTGCTACAGTTATTATGTCGTGCTTAGCAGTTAATCCCTTGACTCCTTAAACATACAGTGACAAGAGTCATATACAGTGATTCCTTAAGCATCAACTATATAAATATGAAGGAAACAAAACCATAGACACAAATGGATACAATTTAGCAGTCGATATCAAGTGATGGTAGCTGACAATATCATGTAGTGATCAGGAGAATAAAATCCAAATGCAGAATTACATCCCTGACATCATGGATAAACCATTGGCAATAGCAGTGGAACCAGGGATATAAAATGGATTCAGAGTTAGCATTCAAAAATCAAAATTACTTCTGTATTTCTTTGTTTTTGATTTACTTGTATCATTCCATCATCAACTTCTGTAACATTTACATCCTTTGACTATCCAAAGTTGCAGAAAAAACATAGACATTCTGTTAACAAGGCCAAAGTGTTAGGAAATAATGAAGAGGAATGCTAACCTAGAAAAAATAGAATCACAGGAGTTAGCATACATGGCTTAATGCTTAGCTTTGGTCTTGTATAACCAGCCATCTTCAGTATATTTGATTTAACAATTTTACTTAACTAAGACAAGTCCTAATTCCTAATGTGCTTGCAATGGTTGCCCCCATCTCCCTCTAGCTATCTGGAGCAACAATCTAGATATGTACACACAGTCCATCTATTATTCCAATTTTTGTTCTTTATTTTTGACAAATGAAGAGATTCATCATGCCTATCTTCTCTCTATTTTATGCTTGACACCTTTTTATCTTTCTTGACAGTAAAAGGCAAGTGTTCAGTTCCCACAAACTCCTCAAGTTGTCCATCTTTTAAACCATCAACTGACATTCATAATACACAGCAAGCACAAGAAGAAAATACCATAGAAGCCGCAAAAGCATTACCAGAGAATCATAATGAAAATATAGGCTTCTAATTATATATTCCACAGATATGCTGGCATTAATTCCCTGTTAGAAAATACAGACATTCACTATTAACTGCAAAGGCCGACACAAAGATTTTTAATTGCTTCCGTGCTGTTTGGATTGCTGAGAACATATGTTGCGGTCTTTCCAGTGCTTTCACATGTCAGATTTAGTTGATTTCCGAGCTGTGAAGACTGCAGAAGAAGCTTATATTAGTAAACTTACAACAAGGATGCAAACAAAAAATGAAACAAGAGTTTAAGCACTAATGGCTGCAACAATAACATGCATATTGAAAGTAAATAATCTCCATATGAAAGTTCTCATTACGCTTATAGGAAAGCATGCGCAAAACTGTTGCTAACAGCAAATTAGCTGAAAACCAATCAAGGCAAGATTGCCGTTGAAGTTCTGATGATGCTCGTGATTTTATCTAACATATTTTTAAAAAGTACAAAAATGCTCAAGAGTTGGCTTGGCATTCATCCAAACCCTGTGTTAATATACTCATTATGATTTTCTATCAAACACAATTTATCCTGACTAACAGGTTAAAAATATACGAACTGGTGTACATTTAGTAAGAATCATAACTACAAAAGAAACTTACCATGCAAAAGTTATTTGGTGCATTGCAACTCCACTTTGAAGTAGGCACACAGCTCAAATAATGGCACCAAGAACAGTGCTCACTAGCATTGAACCCTTGAAATAGCAACACCAATCCAACGGTGAACCTGCCAACAACAAAGTTTAGCTAAAAGAGTTGACCTGTAGTGGTTGATTAGATCATTACCATTCATCTCATTGTCAAGATATTTACCCAGAAACTAGCATCACTGTAGCAATAACCAAAAGTATGATTTGATATGTCTTGAACTTCCGTTTAGTTACGCCCGTGGGAAATCCAAGAGGAGAGTTCTTTTGGTTAATATATCCAAACTGTGGTCGTATTAGCAGCACAAAACCAAGACAGAACCCTGACATAAATCCTCCAAGGTGAGCGAAGTTGTCAACATGTGGAAGGATCCCAACAGCTAAGTTGATGACAATGATCATAACTAGAGTCAAGAGTGCTGCAAACTGATTTTTTTTTTAAAACAAGAACAGAATTAGAAACATGGAATATGGAATGATTTGTGAAAATACTGTGTATATTTTAGAATCAACCTTGTTCTCATATATCGTCCAATTTGTTATGAGCTCTGACAGCATCGAGCCCAATAGTCCAAATAGTGCACCTGACGCACCGACAGATATATTTGACACCATAAATAGAGAAGACAGCAAGCTGCCACCAACACCAGAGATCACATACAGTGTACCAATCCTTACTGCAACAGACAATCATCAATCAATGGTCAAGTTATACAATAACCAGGCCTTGAAATAACCGTCAGACTCCAGATAATAAAGATGCTGTCGGATACCATGAGAAGGGGTACCCTAAGCAAGATCCAAAAAACGACTGCTTAGATTTCGTAAAGATCGAAACCAGCTAAACGCTGCTTGGCCTCGGCCGATTCTCCGACTCACCGAGGCCCCATCACTCCGCGGACCTCACCGATTCTCCGATTCGCCGAGGCCCCTCACCACGGCCTCGGTCGATTCCCGCCAAAGGCCTCGGCCGAGGCCACCGACCCCCCCGTCTCGCGCAAGGCGGGCTCGGCAAAGACTCCGCTACCTCTTCCTTCTCCGTCCCCCTCGGCAAAACGTCAGTGTCGCATCAACTCGACCAATCGCTGCCCACGACAATGACCACATGCCCTGACAAGATAAATGAGAATGGCCGATGGGGACGAGGGGAGGCGGATCAAGGCGGGGTTACCCGCCATCATCAGACAAACCACCGTGCACATGGGTTGACGCCCATGCCTCACTATCTTCGCCAACTCTGCACGGGGACAATGCAGCGTGGGGAGCCACATCTAGGCTATTGTGGCCTCGGAATCGATACCAGGAGCAATAATTCCTCTCAAGGCCTCGGCGGCTTGCTCTCGAGGGCTCGACGTACCGAGGACCCATGTCCGCCAAAGCCCCCCCATGATGGCTTGGCCTCGGCACCTACTGAGCCACGACCCCTCACGACGCGTCATCACGCGATGACTGTGACGTCCCCGGATGGCGGGGTTACCCGTCACTATGCTATCCACCGTGCACATGGTTGACACCCATGCCTCCTTTGTCGCCAACTCTGCTCCAAGGACAACGCAAAGCATGGGGAGCCGCGTCTGGCTCATTGTGGCCTCGGAATCGATACCAGGGGCCAATAACCCCGTTCATTTGGGGTCGGCTAGTGGTCCGGGAGACGCGCTCCAAGAGTACTGGGAGGTTTTCTCTAGTGGGTGCCGAGGCCGTTCGGCTGGGCCTCGGTGGCTCGGTGCCTCCCTACGGTGGGATCCCATTCGGAGACCTCCCTACTGGGTCTCGGACACAACAACAGGCGTGCTAAATGCAGGCTCGCCCAGTAGTCGCCCCTGAACTCTTTTGCCCTGGGCATTGCCGAAACCCCGGGGCCTTGACTTTCGAACCCCCGGACCGTAAGCAGGATCGGGTCGCTTGTTTTTATCTTGGGTGCAGGAAGAGCCCCGAGCCTCCACTGACGGAGGCGAGAGAGGGCGGTCGAGGGTCCTCCCGACTTTTTGCCTGCCCCCCGCCGTCCTTTTCGCTTTCGGACGGGGGCATTTGTCGAGCCCACTCGTGTGCGAGCTGAGCAGCTGGTCTCGGCAAAGTTGCGGAGGAGCCCAGAGTCTCTCTGACGGAGCGAGAGAGCGGTCGAGGTCCCCCGGCTTTTGGTTCGCCCCTGGCGTGAGGTCTGACCGCCGAGCCCCCCTCGGGTGCGAGCCTAGGTCATGGGTCTCGGCGTCTTTTGCGGAAGGAGCTCCTAGCCTGACGCGGAGCAAGAGGGCCGTCAGGAGTTCTTCCGGCTTTTTGAACGACCCTCGCGCTTTCTTTTCGCTCGGAAGGAGGGTTGGTTTTTGCCGAGACCCCTCATGTGCGAGCTCCGGTCGCCTGGGCCTCGCAACGCGTTTTGCAGGCCGAGTCCCTTAGCCTCTCTGCGAGAGAAGAGGGCCGTCGGGGATTCTCGACTTTTTATTCGACCCTCGCGCTTCCTTTTCGCGCTCGGAAGGAGGGGTGGAATGTGCCATGCTACCCTCGGTGGGCGCGAGCGATGGCACTTCCGGTGAGTGTTATCGGGTAAGTCCGAGTGTGAGGCCCGCACCCGTTCGGCTGGGGGTCGGCTAAGCGGTCGGGACGCAGCTCCAAGAGTACCGAGAGGGTTTCTCTAGTGGGTGCCGAGGCCGTTCATTTGGCCTCGGTGGCTCGGTGCCTCCTCACGGTGGGATCCCATTCGGAGACCTCCCTGCCGGTCTCGGACACAACACAGGCGTCCCAAGCGTTTAGCTTGCTTGGGCCTCGGCACTGTAGGCTCGCCCGTAGTTGCCCCCGACTCTGTTCTGGGCGGCTGGCCGAAACCCCTAAGGGCCTGACCCTCGAACCCCTGGACCGTGAGCGGGCTTGGTGCCCAGTTCCTTTACTGGAAGGAATCGGGGGCTATTTCTCTCCCTACGGTTAATTAATGGCGGTAGCGTCTTTTGAGGCGGCTTTTTTGGGAGGCTAAACGGCTCTGGTTTGCCGAGCCCACTCGTAGGCGAGCTGAGCCAGCTGGTCTCGGCAAAGTTGCAGGAGGAGGCCCAGAGTCTCTCGCACGGAGGCGAGAGAGCGGTCGAGGTCCCCGGCTTTTGTTTAGCCCCTCAGGTGTGGGGTCGATCGCCGAGCCCCCTCGGGTGCGCGAGCCTAGGTCGCGGGTCTCGGCGTCTTTTTTGCGAAGGAGCTCCCTAGCCTCTGCTGACGGAGCAAGAGGGGCCGTCGGGGAGTTCTTCCGGCTTTTTGAGCGACCCTCGCGCTTTCTTTTTCGCTCGGAAGGAGGGTTGGTTTTTGCCGAGACCCCTCGTGTGCGAGCTCAAGTCATTTGGCCTCGGCAGCGTTTTGCGGGAAGAGTCCTTAGCCTCTGACGGAAAGAGGGGCGTCGGGGATTCTCCCGACTTTTTATTCGACCCTCGCTTCCTTTTCGCTCGGAAGGAGGGTGGAATGTGCCATGCTACCCTCGGTGGTATGAGCGATGGCACTTCCGGTGTGAGTCATATCGGGTAAGTCCGAGTGAGGCCCGTACCCGTTCATTTGGGGTCGGCTAGCGGTCCGGAGGCGCGCTCCAAGAGTCCGGAGGTTTCTCTAGTGGGTGCCGAGGCCGTCATTTGGGCCTCGGTGGCTCGGTGCTTCCTACGGTGGGATCCCATTCGGAGACCTCCTGCCGGTCTCGGACACAACACAGGCGTCCCAAGCATTTTCGCTTGCTTGGGCCTCGGCTTGTGTAGGCTCGCCCGTGGTGCCCTCGACTCTGTTGCCACTGGGCGGTTGCCGAAACCCCTAAGGGCCTGACCCTCGAACCCCTGGACCCGAAGCGGGCTTGGTGCCCAGTTCCTTTACTGGAAGGAATCGGGGTTTATTCTCTCCTACGGTTAATTAATGGCGGTAGCGTCTTTTGAGGCGGCTTTTTTCGGGAGGCGAAAACGGCTCCTGCTGCTGCTGCGGTTGGGCGCGACGTGGCGTCCACCGACGGACGATACTGCACGCGTGATTAACGAGGAGGAAGCCGACGGGACGTACTCGCACGCGCGATTAACGAGGAGGAGAGTGTGCGTGGCGGTAAGACCGGATCTGGATAACCATGGCGCGGATTTTTTGGGGAAACTTCCCGATTTCGTCGCCCGCGGTTTCGTCTTGTCCTTTGCATAAATCATAAAGGCCTCGCCTTCCCTTCTTACCTCTCTCTCTTCGATTCGCTTTTGCGCCTCCGTCTGCCGTTCTTTGAGAGCATAGAGCGCCGGGAAGAGAAGGGCGAGGCGAGAGACCAAAAGAGAGAGGGAGAGATTACCGCCCTCGGGTCAGCCGGTTCCGCCCGAAAACACGCGGGAAGTTCCACCATGAGGCTCGGGTAAAGAGTGGGACAAGAACCGAACTCCCCTCGGCGGGATCTGGGACTGGTTGCTCCGCAGTGCTGCGGCCGCTGGACGTCCACGCCTCCTTCCTGGGAAGAATCATCGACGAGATTGTCCGAACCGGGGCGGCGCCAAATTTTGCCTGTCTCCACCTCCATCGCCTCGGTCTCGGCGGGCCGGGGCTCGGCCTCCGCCACCTCTACCTCGATGGCCCCGGCGTCCACCGCCACGACGTCGGAGGTCTTGGGGGCTCTGGCCTCACCCTCAATGGCCCGGCAATAGCAGACGCTGAGCCTCCTTCGCCCCAAGACCCACAACATCGTGAGGCATGGGCTCCTCCTCCTCCACTGCCCCGCATGCCGCCTCGGCCCCTTTTTCTGGCGGCCGCCTCCTCAAACAGCGGCCTCGCCCGAGCCGCGCGCCGCTGTCAAGACGCTGCCGGCCTGCAAGGCCCGCCGCTGATGGGCGGAGGAGCTAACGTTCACCTTGAGCGCCTTTACAGGCGCCCAGGAGGATCTTCCACCGAAGCGTCTGGTCGGAAGAAAAGACACTCCCAAGGTCAAAGATGCAACCACCGAGGCGGACAAGGAGTACTACGGACTCCACCGAGAGAAGACGCTATCATGACGGGGATGCGGCCGCCGACACCCGCTGCCTCCTCTGAACGGCGGCGGTGGTGGAAAAGCAGCTGCCCGGTGTGTCACTGATGCGGTGGCCTCCGTCGGACCGGCACCTCCTCGACCCGCCAGCGGAGATAATGGGGTCGCCCCACCGTCACCCGCTCCACCTCGCCGTCGAACCCATCGGCCGACGCAGCGCTCCTCCGACACCGCGCCTGGGTGTGCCGGCCTCGGCCCGGGACGGGCCGCCACCGCCCCGGACACCTCCTCCTCCTAGGGGCGTCGGGCTCCTTGCGGCGCCCGGAACCATCTCCCGATGTCGGGGAGGTGTCCCGAGCGAGCCGTCCCCACCTCGCGCGCGCCCGCCGCCGTCGTCAAGAATCCGACACCGACAGCGAGGGAGGCGGTTCAACGGAGACCGTCGAGCTTCGACGCCGGCGACAGGCGTCCAGCTTCCAGCGCGAGAGCTTCTTCGTGCGCCTCGCCTCCTTGGCATCTTTCTTTTCTTCTCCTCCTCGGCGCGCATACCTTACCGTGGTTTCGCCGCCGGGCGTCCCCTTGACAGGCGGCGGGGAGTTTCGCGACGTCTCTTAGTCCTCGTGAGAACGCATTTAAGTAAGACAACAGACCAAAAAGGCGAAAGCCTCGACAACATCCAACTTACCAGCGAGACATACCCCCGCGACGGGCGCATCGGGAACGGCATCAAATCGTCGATCTTCGGCTTCCCGTCCACCGCTTCTTTCACCCGACGCAGGGTCTCGTCGTCGGTAAGGGCGGCGAACATCTTGACACCGACGATCGAATCGCGGGGTCATCTCGGCAACCGCCGCCCGCAAGGCCATCGGCGGCAACACCTCCGGCGGTGAAAAGCCGCCACGACCACGGCCGCCGAAAGGCCCGTGGTCACGCAGCCTTCCCAAGGCCCTCAAGAGCGGTTCCCACTGGGCCGACGTCGGCGCGATGACGCCGCATACCCCCATTTCTCTGGTTGACTCTCTACAACCCGCCGTATATAAGGGAAGTCCTCCGCCGTCGTTGCGGAGGTAGAACCAACCGTCATACCAACGACGGTTGGACGTTGACACCGGGCGGGATGTGTAGGGACCGCCGGTCTTAAGCGCACGTGAAGGGTACAACCGCCCTGCCCTCTGCTTCTTCCGAGCCCCCTCGTTCCCCGGCTTGGTGGTGAGCGTCGCTTCCGGAACAAGTGGAGCCACAACTCCCGGTGGGGAGCGATCCCCAGATACCCTCACAGACGGCGGCGAAGATGGCCGCTGGGGCGATGGAGTTGGGGCTGAAATTGTGCGACTCACGCCATAGTAGTCTTGAGGCGCGCCGCATGAAGTTATCCACCGGCGACCAAGCCTCGCTCGTGGAAGACGCGAAGCTCACCAGCGTAGCCGTCGCTTGCGGCCTCGCTCCGACTTCGTTCCGGAGCAATCCACTCCGGCTTCGGGGTTTGGTGTCAGGCGAAGAAGACCGGCCTCCTGGCGGATCGCAGCTTCTCCTCGGTGACGTCGGACCGCCCCGAGGATCCGCGGAGGAGGATGGCGGGACCACCGGACCATTGCGCTGGCGGAGGACGCTGCTAGGGCGGTAATCTCTCCCCTCTCTCTTTTGGTCTCGCCCTCGCCCTTCTCTTCCCGGCGCTCTATGCTCAAAGAAGCAAAGACACGAGGAGGCGAAAAGCGAATGCGAGAGAGGTAAAAAGGGAAGGCGAGGCCCTTTGCGATTTATCGCAAGTGACAAGACGAAACCACGGGCGGCGTAAATCGGGAAGTTTCCCCAAAAAATCCGGCGCGGTTATCCAGATCCGGTCTTACGCCACGCACACTCTCCTCCTCCTCGTTAATCGGCGTGCGAGTACGTCCGTCGGCTTCCTCCTCGTTAATCACGCTGCAGTACGTCCGTCGGCCGACGCCACGTCGCGCCCAACCGCAGCAGCAGCAGCAGAGCCGTTCGCCTCCAGAAAAAGCCGCCTCAAAAGACGCTACCGCCATTAATTAACCGTAGGGAGAGAAATAACCCCGATTCCTTCCAGCAAAGGCGGGCACCAAGCCCGCTCTGGTCCGGGGTTCGAGGGGTGGGCCCTTAGGGTTTCGACGGCCGCCCTGAAGGCAGCAGAGTCGGGGGCAACTACACGGGCGAGCCTACACGGCCGAGGCCCAAGCAAGCTTAAACGCTTGGGACATACAATGTTGTGTCCGAGACCGGCAGGGAGGTCTCCGAATGGGATCCCACCGTAGGGAGGCACCGAGCCACCGAGGCCCAATGAACGACCTCGGCACCCACTAGAGAAACCCTCCGGTACTCTTGAGCGCGCGTCTCCGGACCGCTAAGCCGACCTCAATGCGGGTGCGGGCCTCCACTCGGACTTACCCGATAACACTCACCGGAAGTGCCATCGCTCGCGCCCACCGAGGGTAGCATGGCACATTCCACCCCTCCTTCCGAGCGAAAAGGAAGCGCGAGGGTCGAATAAAAAGTCGAGGAGAATCCTCGACGGCCCTCTTCTCCGTCTGAGGCTAAGGGACTCTTCCTGCAAAACGCTGTCGAGGCCAGGGTGGACTGGAGCTCGCAGACACGAGGGGTCTCGGCAAAAACCAACCCTCCTTCCGAAAGCGAAAAAGAAAGCGCGAGGGTCGTTCAAAAAAAGCGGAAGAACTCCCCGACGGCCCTCTTGCTCCGTCTGAGGCTAGGGAGCTCCTTACGCAAAAGACGCCGAGACCCCATGACCTAGGCTCGCGCACCCGAGGGGGCTCGGCGATCAGACCTCCGCCGCGAGGGGCGAACCAAAAGCGGGGACCTCTCGACCGCTCTCTCGCTCCGTATGCGAGAGACTCTGGGAAACTCCTCTGCAACTTTGCCGAGACCAGTGGCTCGAGCTCGCACAGTGGGCTCGACAAACAGCCCCCCGTCCGAAAGCGAAAAGGGCAGGCGGGGGACGGGCAAAAAAGTCGGGAGGACCCCTCGACCGCCTCTCGCTCCGCAGGCGGAGGCTCGGGGCTCTTCCTGCACCCAAGATAAAACAAGCGACCCGATCCGTTACGGTCCGGGGTTGAAAAGTTGGGCCCCGGGGTTCTGCACAGTGCCCCAGGCAAAAAGAGTCGAGGGGCGACTACACAGGCGAGCCTGTCTGAGCACGCCTGTGTTGTGTCCGAGACCGGTAGGGAGGTCTCGAATGGGATCCCACCGTAGGGAGGCAGGCCGAGCCACCGAGGCCCAGTGAACGGCCTCGGCACCCACTAGAGAAACCCTCCCGGTACTCTTGGAGCGCGTCTCGGGACCGCTAGCCGACCCCAGTGAATGAACGGGTGCGGGCCTCCACTCGGACTTACCCGAATGTGACTCACCGGAGATGCCATCGCTCGCGCCCACCGAGGGTAGCATGGCATCTTTCACCCTCCTTCCGGCGAGAAGGAAGCACGAGGGTCGTACAAAAAGCCGGAGAACCCCCGACGGCCCTCTCGCTCAAAGCGGAGGCTAAGGGCTCTTTCCATAACATCGTCGAGGCCCCGCGATCCGAACTCGCACCTACGGGCCCGGCAAACACGATCAAAACGCCTCACTCGAAAGAGAAAAAAGCCCCTGAAGAAGCGAAATCACTCCTCCGGGGCCTCGGGTTACTACACGGTGTGTGTGCTGCACCCACCAAAACCTCGAAAACAAAACACCATCCCGGCAGAACTATCAAGAGCCAATTCTCGCCAGAACCTCAGGGGAGTGCCTCCACTCCCCCAAGGCTCGGGGCTACTTGTCGGATACCATGAGAAAGGGTACCCTAAGCAAGATCCAAAAAACATCGCTTAGATTTCAGAAGATCGAAACCCACTAAACGCTGGCTTGGCCTCGGCCGATTCTCCGACTCGCCTTGAGGCCCCATCATCCTGGGACCTCGGCCGATTCTCCGATTCGCCCGAGGCCCCCTCACCACGGGCCTCGGTCGATTCCCATAAAGGCCTCGGCCGAGGCCACCGACCCCGTCTCGCGCAAGAAGGCGGGCTCGGCAGAAGACTCCGCTTACCTCTTCCTTCTCCCGTCCCTCCGGCAAAAGCGTCGTGTCGCATCAACTCGATAGCTGCGCCCGACGACAATGACCACATGCCCCGCGGTCTGTGAGAATGGCCGATGGGACAGGGAGGCGGGGATCAGGCGGGGTTACCCGCCATCTGCACAAACCACCGTGCACATGGGTTGACGCCCATGCCTCACTATCTTCGCCAACTCGCACCGGGGACAATGCGGCGTGGGGAGCCACATCCGGCTCTCTGTGGCCTCGGAATCGGTACCAGGGAGCAATAATTCCCTCCAAGGCCTCGGCGGCTTGCTCCGAGGGCTCGGCGGCCCGAGGACCCATGTCCGCCAAAGCCCCGCGATGGCTTGGCCTCGGCACCTCTGAGCCACGACCCCTCACGGCGTCATCACGCGATGACCTTGACGTCGTCCCGGTTTGGCGGGGTTACCCGTCACTATGCTATCCACCGTGCACATGGTTGACACCCATGCCTCACTTTGGCCGCCAACTCCCTGCTCCAAGGACAACGCAAAGCATGGGGAGCCACGTCTGAGCTCTTGTGGCCTCGGAATCGATACCGGGGCCAATAACTCCCCCAAGGCCTCGGCAGTTTGCTTCACGGGCTCGGCGGCTGAGGTCCATGACCACCGAGCCCCCACGATGGCTCGGCCTCGGCATCCGCAGAGCCGCCGCTTCCCCACGACGTCATTACACGGCGACAAAGACGTCGCCCGCCATGTCTCGCATCAAGCCGTCTGGAGCCCCGACGACGACAAGACCGAAAGTATGACCCGACATGTCACTTCCAGCATGACAAGGGCAGGGGCCACTCCATCGACCATACCACAACGGTGGTCGACTACGAGGCTCGGACCGCCACCCCATTCTGAAGCGCTATGTAGCACTGCGTAGACGGTCCGGTCCTCCCTTAGAGTATAAAAAAAAGGGAGGGACTGGGGCCATTCGAGAAAAGGCCGGAAAGAGCGAACACGCCGATAGAACCACGCACTCTCTACCGCTTGGGAACAACGCCTCAAGCAGCCCCCGCACCATACTCGCCGAGACACAGGGGCTAGTTCCTCTCTCACCTAGCTTGTAACCCCCCTACTACGAGCACTCCGGTTGCAAGGAATACAAGATCGATCTCTCGGACTGGACGTAGGGCCTCGATTGCCTGAACCAGTATAAACCTTGTGTCTCTTTGCGCCACCATCCGGGATTAGGGGCACGCAGCACAAATTCACTCGTTGGTTGAGGGACCCCCGGTTCCAAAACACCGACAGATGCATTGTACAAAGATGAAGAATCTGTTTTCCTAAAAAAAAAAAAGACAATTACTGAAACTTTCTTTAATCGAACCAGACAGGGACACTTACTGAAACCAAATTCCTTCTCAAGCCTGATTCCGATCATCAAGAGACTCAACATGTTAGCGAGTATGTGGACGACTCCAGCATGCAACCAAATGCATGTAATGAGGCGCCAGCCTTCGTGATCTTTGGTAACTTTACTGGTTTCAAGTGCCCCCATTTCCAACAGCCTGGGAAACGAAACATGTTATATGAACCTTCAAGCAACCAAGATTATAAAAATAAGCACGAAATTGATGTACTGCCTCCCGAGGGCATAGTTAGCAATAAAAAATTATCGATGGTGAAAAGTGATCCTTAATACATTATCAAACAATAAGGTTTAACAAGGTTATACTATACATTGTCATACCAATCGAGGATCTAAAAGACAGCACATTTCACAAAATATGCACAGTTTCTCACATACTCACAAGTCACAATGCATATATACATCTAAAGCAATAATGTAAACCGAGCAAACTGCAGAAAGATCCAAATTTCGGACAGATTTGAATAGTGCCGTACGTGGCGGAGGAAGGTCCGACGAGCGGGTTCTCCTTGAACGACTGGAACGCGAACCTCCCGAGCTCGGGCGCGAGCAAGCAGCCCTGCGCGGTGGCGCTCTCGCCGACTGATCCCCCTATCGCGGCGCCGGTGGCCCGCGCGTGCGCGGGGCAGTCGTTGACGTACATGGTGAGCACGAAGAGGACGATGTTGGCGACGATGAAGAGCGGCACAAGGAACGGGAACCACCGCCGGAACGGCCGGAACGCCGGCGGGGGCGGCGGCGGCGGGCGGCTCCGGTGCTGGCCGTGGCGGCCGGGGCCGTGGCTCCGGTGGCGCTCGCTCTTGGGCCGCTCCTCGCCTCGCCCGCCGCCGCCGCCGGAAGCCACGTCAATGGGGACCACCGCCGTCTCGCCCCGCCGTCCCATGGCACGGCTGGCGGCGGGGGGCGCAGGCGCGTGGCCAGCTGGAACGTGGGGGTGGCGGCGCGACGAATGCGAGCGCGCGGCGCGGGATTCTGCGTGTCGGGAGGGTCGTCCGCGCGTGCTGCCTCGTGGTGGAGATGGTGGGGAAGGTGGGGAAGGCCGGAGGAGCGGTGGCGACCCGGGATGGAAAGGACGGAGAAGAAGAATGACCCCTAATTTTAGTGTTTCCCTATCTCTATATACTAATCCTGCTTCCACAAGCGGGCTAACCATCGTGCCACGTCGCCCGTTAAGCCGCAAGCCGTTCGATCTGGCGAACTTGCGATGGTGGCCGTTCGATTGCGGATCGGTTTGGTCTCTACCCGTTTCGTCGTAAACCCGAAACCTCGGGAACCTTCTTGGGCTCATCCGTCGAGCGAGCGGCGGCACGGGCGCCTGCAACCAACGAGACATCCCGACGCAGGCGCGGAGGCCCCGGACGCTCCGGTCCCGGCCATCCCGGCGCGGGCGGGGGCCCCAGCTGCCCGGAGTGGCGGCTCCGGCCACCCCGGAGCGGGCGGCGGGCGCAGGCACGGCGGCTGCGGCCACCCCGGCTCGTCCACCAGCAACTCCTCTCCTCGCTGCCGTCGCCAGGCCACGCTGCCTCCCTGGCTCCCTCTGCCCTTTGCTGCCTCCGCGACCCCTGCGAGTAGTCACCAATGGCCAAGCGCTCCCGCGCCGGGGTCGCCGTGGGAGGGGGGCGCCGCCCGCCTGCCCGCGGCCCTCGCACGCGGGAGTGGCCGAGCACAGGCCGGGAGCACGTGCAGCGCGACGCCCCAAGCTGCTCATCTTCAATAACGGCGATGGCCCATGGCATTGAATCCGCGAGGAGCTGCTACACCGACCAGCATAGGTACGAGACGAGAAACGGCTGGGAGCGCAAGCAGCGGGCAACTCCGTCCTCCTCAAGGGTGTGCAAAAGCAACGATTACAATCCTTGTTGGTGTGTTTTTTCTCCTCTTTTCTAATTGCTGCACTGCAGCCATGGTGTTTGATAAAATGTGCATGTCTGCAGCTTTGACGATTAGGAGCACCATGATTAGATTTCTGTGCTATGTCTGTGATGCAGTGTTCTATTTAGTTCACTTATCACCGGAAATGTCTGCCAAGTAATTATGCAAATCACCAAAGATTGATTTACTTAAACCTCAAAGATAAGCCAAGTAATTATGTAAATTACCAATAATGATTGACTTAAACCTCAGAGACAAACCTCTGATGAAAAAGTAATGCTCAGTGTTACTGATCAATGTACAATATTTACACTAGTCTAAAATAGTTTATTGTGCATACATGATATCTACTTCCTCTCGTCACAGGTTTTTGCATTCAAGTAGACATGCAAATTTAATATCGATGTTTATAATTTGGGATCCTGATGGTATGTTGATTTTTTTATAATCTTCAACTACACGAACTTAAACGGGTTAGCAAGGAACATGGAAACATAGATAACTTTTGTTTATATGTGATTGGTAATTGATCTTACTTCCATGTCTCATTTTTTTAACCAGCAAAAATAATGAAGTCAATTTAATCTGATAGTACCGTCGAAGTGCCACATGCACAAGCTAACAGTTACCTATGCTACCGTGATGACTCATAAAATACCAAATATATATCTTTATCTTACTAACACAAAACGGCACTCCATGCCTTCCCCTGAAAAAAAAAGCAAATATAAGCTGCTCTGCTTTTAAACACCTATATGTTTGATATGTCAATGCACTCTATTTTGTTATAATTTTGATTTTAAATTAAACTGTCACATCCAATCCTAATAATCTTACAATAACAATACTTTTCTTTGTTTGCTAATTTTCTGTAGCACCACCACAACTGAATTATCTCGCACACATGACCTGGATATCCAAGTTTAGATCCAAGAAGATTGCGGCTGCTTAAGTGTATCCCTTCTTTTTATTACTATCAGGCTTATCGCTATCATCTCCACACTAAGCATGTTTTTTTCTTTCCTTTTCAGTTTTGTACTGTCCCTGTTATATCGGATGTTTCTTCAAAAGAGCAACTAATTCTTTTCTAGGTTCAGGTTTTCAGTATGTCTCAATTAGGTGGCAATATGTAACCAACTGCAGCTTACCAGTTACTCGAGGCGAGTCAAGAAACTAGCTACAAGTCATCACAATGATAGACCATTATTTGGAATTTGAAAATCTATGATGGAGTTTCTACATTTAATTTTGATAACATTCTAGAAAAAGTCCTAGATCAACTTCTTTTTCCAAAAATTGAAATTATTCTTTAGAAGAACACCTGACATATTGCAGGGGTTGAAACGTGTTCTCCATATCTACATGTTTAGACATTTTCACATTGATGTACTGCATCATTCGTCTTATGATTCGAGATGCATACTGTTTACCCACGCACTTACAGTTAAATAAAATGTCAAATCACCAGGCCAAATAACATTTTATCCATTCAAAGATCACTTTGTTCTTCCCTTTGCAGAATATTACATATATAAATGCATTGCACAAAAAGTTCTCTCGGATTGACCATTTCAAAAGCCAATTCAAAACTTTGACTACAAGCATTTAATTTTCTTTTATAAAATCACATTCCCTAAAGTGCTACAAAGATGACCTAATGGAACTCTGGCAAAACTACAACAGCTCAGCTCAAAGATGGCGCGGCAACGCCGCGCCCTGGCTTTCTAGTATACTGGGGAATGCTAGGACTTGGCAACACTAATCATGTTCTTAGCAGTTTTCTAATTTGAATTTGAGTTATTTTAGGCACATGTTTCAATGGAATTTCTACTCCAGATGCCGGTGTCTGACGCAGACAAATTTTATACTGGTTCTATTTCATACTTGTGTGAGTGCACACGTAGAGCAACTAGGGGGAAAAAAAAGGTATCACATAGAATTTGGGAGAGACGCGATTTAAGTTTTCAATTGAAAGATGCACACATAGTCCATTCGAATCAAGCCAGAATTTGCCATCGCTTTCTTTTGCGTACTCGCTGATAGGAAACCACTGCCTACTATCAACTCCATTGGACCCGTTCGCTGGTCTAAAACTTGGCTGAAACTGTCTGGTTGTATGAGAGAAACACTGTAGCGACCAGAAGATACACAGTGATTTATGAGAGAAGCAGCCGGCTGGTCTGGAAAAAAATCAGACCAGCGAACGGCGCCATGTCCTTTGCGAAACACAAATAAAGATGGGCAAACCACCATGTCGCTGTCAATTAACGACTTGGTCCGTGAACTGCCTTTCCTTTACGTACGTGACACATAGTATCCCGTTCAGATAGATTTGCGTGTCCGCATCAAGCTGCATTTGGTAGTCTGAAAAAGACCTGGCAAGCCATGGTCCATCCAGGGACACTACACACCATACTGATCTTCCTTTCAACAATTGGCAGCATGTGGTCAACTTTAGGCCCTGTTTCAAAATTTCCCAAGATTACCCGTCACATCGAATCTTGCGGCACATACATAGAGCATTAAATGTAGATAAAAAGAATAACTAATTGCACAGTTTACCCGTAATTGACGAGACGAATCTTTTAAGCCTAAATAGTCCATAATTAGATATTTTTTGCCAAATACAAACGAAAATGCTACACCGTCCATTTTCCAAACTGGAAGGAATCTAAACAGGCCCTTAAGGTTTGGTTTCGAAACATCTTCAACATTATTTTATCTAACATCATCTAGTTACTAATGGATCAAGTGTTCAGTAACTCACATTACCACAAATAATGAAACCTGTTATGACAGTAATAGCACAACCAGATAAGCCTGAGCACACTACCTTCCAGTCAAGCAGCAAGATGAAGACTCTTGAAGAATTACCATTTATCAAAATTGAATTACAGTTTGGTAAGCACAATTAATCATTTGTCGCACTCGCACTATGTTTTGATTTGTCACAAGACATAACTTTCTTCAGGTACAAACAATCGAACTTCAACCCAACTCAAAATACAGCCTGATCGGATCTAATTGTAACTCATAATAAGCGTGAGATCATCCGGTTTCTGAAGCACAGATGTTGCACCCTACCAGACAATATAAAGGCAGCACTCTGCTTGAAAAACGCCATATTTATTGCATGCTCATAGTAGAAGCCTCTGCAATAGATAGTGCCCAGATCATCCGGTTTCTGAAGCACAGATGTTGCACCCTACCAGGCAAGAAAAATACTTGGATAAAATATCCAAGCAATTATTGATGCGAGCTGTTTGCCATGGGATGGTGGTAGGATGCTTCATACTAATTCAGCAATCCCTGCAGGCACCGTATCATGTGCAGGGCACTGCTGACTGCAGGTGCCATAGTGGGTGATCTACAGGTACTTGATCATGCCACGGCCTTCCACGCTGAGCTTCGACGCCTGAAGGTTTTTCTTCTTGGGCGCTTTCAGCTGCTGCAATTTCTTGTTCATCTGCGTGTCAAACCAGAAGAATCAGCTATTGCTCAGTTACTTCAACAGTTAACAAGCAAGAAAGAACCCTAGCTAGCTTATAAAGGGAGACAAAGCCAAGGGGTTTTAAAAGAATGAAGACCTTCAGCCGACGCTGGTCTTGGACAGCCTGCTTAGCACGAGCTCGTATCTGCTCAGGGTCAATTTTGGACTGTGGACGAATGACAAAGTCCAAAGGCGAGGCTTCTGGCCTAGAAGCATGCTGCCTTGAACTACTTTGCCCAGACTTGCGTCTAAATACAAAGCATAGATAGAACAGATTAAACTAACAATTAGGAAATGGTGAAAACATGCACCTGCGCATCCAAGGCCAAACAAATATGATTGAACTTACTGTGAAAAGTCAGCATCAAGATCATCATCTCTGGATTCCATTCCAGAGCTACTCGACGAAGGTCTTCATGACAAAGGGATAACCAATAAGAATACAACATAACATACAGGACAAGAAGATATAGTCCTCAAATGGCCCATAAGTGCACACACTTACTTCTTCATTTGTGGCCGCCTGTAAGGTGCTCTTTCATCCTCATCATATCTCCTCATGTCCTCAAATCTTGTGCTCTTGTTGAATATTGGTCGACTCTGAATTTTTTACAAGTATGAACTAAGAACCCTTCACAACAACAAACACAAAAACACATGTGGATACTGAAAACAGACTTACCCATTTATCAACCAGCTCCTTAGCCAATTTCCTATTTGCAGTAGTCTCCTCGTCAGATTTGGACAAAAACATGATGACCTAAATATGCACCATTGGATAGATTTAGCGCATAGCAAATAATCTTCTGTAAAATAATATATCATCAGGACTGGTATAAGCATACCTTTCCCAGGCCACTTTTCTTAAGCTGCTCTCTTCGGTCATATTGTTCCAAGTCAATTGGAAACTGCAAGGGGCATGGAACTTTCATTAGCAACCAAATTCCAAGCCATCCAAAAATATGTCACGGACAACTACGCTCTTGTGCAAAACAAACAAAGTTCTACAATGCAAAAAGGCCGAAGGAAATAAAGATGCCTACATCAGTTAATAATTTCAGTACAGCAGATCGAATATTCATGTTTGGCATGCTTCCGTCAGGTAATGGCTCAAGCCAATTTTTTAGAAGAGTGAGAACTCCATGGTCAAGAAATTCCTGCTGAAGATTCTTCCTGTGAAACAGAGATAAACAAGAAAATATTACTGTTAGCTATAAACAAATGACAATGTGCACTGGCAGTGGCACTACAGGTAAGATTCCAGATATCTTACTTGGAGAGAACATCTATGAGCAGAGGAAGCTTCATAAGTTTATTAATGGCTGGCTTTGATTGCCTATTCAAGTTCGCATCTTCTTCGGCTGCTACCTCGAACTCGGCAATGAATTGTTCCACTATAAGACCAATATCTGCACGAGGGCGATCATTCTTCTTCTTCTTCTTACCACCCTTGAAGAGTCGCTCAATTTCATCGTCCTCCTCACCCTCCTCAGCCTATAGTCATCAACCCATATTGTCAGTGATTAAAAAACAAAACAAAAGATAGCATATGGCATGGTGCAATGGCCCAGAAATGAATAGACATATTCGACCCAACAAGGGCCTATTGCGACCATGGTTTTAGATCAATGAGGATTAAACTCCAAAGCTGCTATGAAAGGATGTCTAACACCATACTTCAGTTACAGCAACCAATTCTCAGGTCAACAAATATTGTCAATTTGCCACTAGAGTGACTGGCATGGAACACAACCAAGAGTAAGACATAAGATACAATGAACCAACAGACATTTGTTTAACCTGTATGACAATTCAACTTAAAGAATACAAAAAGATAATGCTGTAAGCCACCTGAACAATTAAGAAAAAAATACCTGTGCATAACGTCCAGGTGAATGCCGCTCATTATCGCTGCCATAACGATCAGCTGGATCAACCCCAGTGTCATCAATGAAATTATCATCGTCTACAGTTCTAACACCTTCTTGGTCATCCTGTTCCATCAGATTAGAATATCATGTCAGTGAAGAGTATTAGTCTGTCCAAGACAAGTCGCGTCAGAACCCCCCCATTTGAGTCAACTAGGCATTTAAGGCGTGTGGTAAGGCGATGCCATACAAACAACTTAATATATAGTGGCACTAAAATTCAGAAGCAAACCGTACCTTAATATTGCCAGTTCTTATAGCATGTAATACCATAATTAGTGCTACTAGAGTGTTAGTGCACAATATAAAGTGGCAAAATATAGCAAATCTGAAATCTCTCCTCTCTCAATAGCAACAAATTAGTCTCTAATGGCATAATATAACTTAATGAGGTAGTGCAGCTAGTGCAAAACAAATATAAGTAGCATAAGTGCAGAGGAGAGGCAGGAAAGAAACAGAGGAAGAGAAAGAAAGCAGAGGATACGCAGACTGCCGAGCATATCCAAGTAAAGAGCAGAGGCAGTGCACATCCAAGAGGAGGGTAGCCGAAGGGAGAGGAAGAGATGCTTACGTACCTATCCCGTGACCTTATGACGCCAGGTTGAATACAGGAACCAACAGAGAAGGGAAAGGAACCGTGTATCAATCAGCATAGGAGGAGGACCAGAGGAGGCACCAATCAGGGGCACAAATTAGTGGAGAAGATGAAGGGAGGCTCAAATCCACGGACAGAAGCGTTAATCGATGGAGCAGAAGAGGTGGAACAGCAGGATTCTAGCAGTGCGCTGCCAAGAACCAGGTGTGCGCCTTCTTCCATTTCCCCTTCCATGTCAATTGGCGAGTGGGAGAGATGGGTTATGGCCTCGTGGGACCTGTAGGTGCACAATTTCCACCGGCGCGTGACTCCTGTCGGTCTCCCAAATCTCCTGCACCCGCTCCCGTGCCCATTTTTTCCATGTGCGCAGCTCCTCTCCCACTTCCACGCCCGTGGTCATGCAGTGTCTGCCTCAGGCCGCTCGGGCCTTAAACAGCACCAAATCGCTCCTAGGTAATGACTTCTTGTCGGGGACCAATACTAGGGTACCCGAAGAGGAGCTAATAACCATCAACGTTGATTCATCCGAGCGGTAAAGAGCACGACTACAGCTCTTGCCGACCACCAAGGCCGCGGGCTCCACCTCGTCCGACCACCGAGGCTGCGAGCTCCGCCTCGTCCGACCACTGAGGCCACGGGCTCCGCCTCGCCCGACCCCCGAGGTTTGGGTCCACCTCGGCTGACCCCCGAGGGGTGGCTCCGCCTCGTCTAACCCCCGAGGGTTGGCTCCGCCTCGGCTGACCCCCGAGGACGGGCTCCGCCTCGCCCGACGTCTGAGAATGGCTCCGCCTCACTCGATACCGAGGCCACGGGCTCCGCCTCGGCCGACCCCTGAGGGCTAGCTTCGCCTCGTCCGACGTCTGAGGGCTGGCTCCGCCTCGCCCGATCCCTCGGGCACGAATCCTAACGGAAGCTCATGCCGTCGCAAACCACTATGGGCCAGAAGGTACAACCCAAGGTCAAACCTCTGGCATCGTGCATGGAGCGGTCACGTCTCAACACGACCCGTCCCCGCGACATGTCATTTCAGGGAACTCACATCGCCCACGGTGGCAGACGCGTGGTCACTATGTTGCCTACTCCCTATACGGTTGCTGATCAGCACGCTGGTTCGCCGCGCCGCCCGCCGGGGCAGAGTGAGACGTTACGACCCGCTGACAACGGCATGGCATGGCATCATCAAGCGGACAAGCGCCTGGAGTGGGGCTGTCCCTTTCACCACCTGCCGTGTCAGCGGAACCCGCGCAAAGGAAAAGGAAGGCCCGGCGACCCTGAAGGACTCTCTCTCTCTCTTTCTCTGTCTCTCTCGTTCTCCTCTTTTCTCCCGCTGTAACCCGTGCTTTCCCTTGGCCTATAAAAGGGAAAGCAGGGCACCCCACTAAGGGGCATTGGACTCAAATCCATCGCACCGCATCACATCAGAACCACTGGCATCGAGCCTCGAACGCATAGCTGAGCAGCGACCGAGCTCTTGGCACCCATTCGTTCTTTCCATCAGAGACTTGGGACCTGTCTCTCTCTCGCCCGTTTGTACCCCCTACTACGAAATTTTCAGTGCTAGTAACACGAGCAACAGCAACGAAATGGACGTAGGGACATTCAGCCCGAACCAGTATAAACCTCGTGTCCTCTTAGCACACCATCCGAGCCAGACATGCAATAATACAAATTTACTCGTTGGTGTTTACTCGAAACACCGACACTTCTGTTGCAATACGTACACCATAGCCCGATTGGTCGTGGCAAGGCTGACGCCCAGCCTGGAAACAGTGGCGGACCCAGCGGGTAGCATAGGTAGGCCGAGGACTACCCACAAATTTGCCCAAAAATTCTATTATTACTCTTTAGAAACCGGTCCACGGTCACTCTCGTCTCAGCCCAGGCCGAAGACACCGCAAATCCACGAGCTCTTCAAAAAAATAACGCGCCCGAGAGGGATCGAACCGGGGACCTCGTGCCTCAGGCTGCAGCGCGCGTACCAATCCAGCTACGAAAGTTTGTTGGATAGGTAATACCCACAACCCTATTTAATAAGGGAAATCAGGAAAAAAATACCCCTTAATTAATCACTCCTTGGTATGCTAAATCATATCCTAAACGACTTTCTTTACCAGTATGGAGGAAGTATTTATGTAAGTTTCGAACCTTTTAAATGTATTATCATAATTTGTTTAATTTATGGCTATGTTTGTCGAACTTTTTGTTTGGATTTTATAGTATTACACATGAATTTTTTTACCAGGACTACCCTGGTCTCAGATCCTGGGTCCGCCACTGCCTGGAAACTCGACTGGACGCCAAGGCAATGCCTACGTGGCGACTTAAAAAGCATGATAACTAGGTCCAATGGTCTGACTTGATATGCACCAACATTTTACACAACCATACTGATGCCTTAGTAAGCAATTGAATATACTTTAGCATCTTTTTTATCATTCTATTTTTTTTTTTTGGAACATACCTCGCGAGTCCACTACGGCAGTTGATAGAGGTTGAATTTTCCAGAAACCTTTCATATTAAGCTCAAAGTAGTTCTAACAAGTTAATGCACATATATACTAGTACAGTAAAGGGGCATCCAAGCAGTAATGAATTGAAAAAGAACTGAATCAAATCGAAACATATAGCACACAATCATAATTACCTCTGAGTCACCACCGGCAATGGTATCCCAGAGCTCCTGGATCTCCCTCTCCCCATCATCCTGGTCCTCCCTACCGCCTGAGTCCATCCCTCCTGATCCCCGCCTGTCCCTCACCTTCCCACTATCCCTCCCCCTGCCGTCGTCCTCCCTCCGCCTTTTCTTCTCCTTCTTCTCCTTGCCCGCCCCGCCCCTCGCGAGGTCCCTCAGCGCCGACGAGCCCTTCCTCTTCCTCGCCTCAGCCGCGGGGTCCGCGTCATCGTCCTCCAACCCAAAGTCATCCAGCCCGTCGTCGCCGGGCATGCCACCACCGCCGCCCTTCTTGAGGAGGCGCTTCCGGGGCTTGGAGGAGGACCCCGCCCCGCCGTCGTCGCCGTGGACGGGGGTCGGGGAGCGGCCGCGGGTCCAATCGCCGCCGTCGCCAAGGTCGTCAACGAGGTCTTCGTAGGGCTGGGGCTCAGGGGAGGGCTCCCGTTCGTCGAGGTCCACGGTCGGTTCGCCTTCGTCGTCCAACAAGTAGCTGGGGGTGTAGATCGAGGAGGGGAATCAGAATGCGGCGTCGAAACCCTAGGAGACACAGAGAGAGGGGAAGGAGGCACGGAGCGGAGGGATACTTACTTGTCCCCCATGGCGACGACGGCGAGACGGGAAGCGAGACCCTAGGTGAGGAGAGGAGAGAGGCGAGCTGGAGCTGGAGGGAGGTGAGGAAGAAGAGTCTTGTCGTCGGTGGACCCTGGGAGGGAAGGAAAGATAGAGCCGGCATCTCGGCGACGGGGAGGAAAAGGATTGGGAAGGCGAAGTGGGCTGTAACTTTTGGGCTTTTGGGGCCCACCGGACCCGCAAGAACTCTGTACGGGCCTGCTCGGGTAACTATTGCGGCCGTCGAATACAAAAAAACAGTTTTTTTTACCCTTCTCTTAAAGTTTTAGAACTGTCTTTTACATATTGACTATGTAGCGTGTCCGTGCGTTACGATGGGACAACTAAACTTTTACTACTGAAAACACACAGATCACATAATAAGATAACAATACTGTGAAATTGAATACCGACATTAAAGCACACATTTTCTAAAAGAGAAGGATATCAAGAGTCAGGATTTGTATAACTTGGTTTATTTTAAATAATTAGAAGAACAACAAGTAAGACAATATAATATAGCACGATAATAATTATAAAAATACGCTTACACAGAAGCGTAGGTCCATGTGATGTTTCATAATATTTTTGGATTAACATTTTTAAAAATGTAATATTTTTAGGATAAAATGAGAACAGTAGCGATGGCGGACCAACTGTCAGACCAATATGCTTCATCTAAGTTTTCATCCCGTTTTTGTTTCTATCCTGGATAGGCCTGCTTAGCTTAGAAGACTTAGTCCATCTAGGCCCATTGGCCCAAGATACAAACCCTAACACCTCCGCACGCCCCACACGTGGGACGGCGCGAGTCGACTCCTCCCCTTAGCCCTCGTGACGCGGTCTCCTCCGTCCGCCGTCCTCTTCCTCTTCCTCCAATCTACGTGGTCGATGCTGCTGCTTTAGCGTCGCCACTGTGGTAAGGATGAAAACGGATGGAAATGAACAGAAAATAGCTCTACCGTTTTCGTTTCCATATTTTTTAACGGAAACGGGAGCGGGAGCCGGACAGCCTGGAACGAAAACAGTAGCGAGATAGAACAGTAATACATGTAAATACAATCGAAAAATAGACAGCAAGTAGGAACTTAAGGCGGAAGTACATGCCACGTATGACAAATCAAATACATAAACCAAAGTGTATAGACAAATAGATAGTATAATACACCTAACAAGTGAGTCACTACCAGCGACAAGTTACCAGCGCATAGGACCAAGCAAGTAAAAAAAAATCTTCACAAGAAAAGAAAAGAAAATCAGGGAAAAAAATGACCGAGTCTCCAGAAGCTCCGTGGCCACTTGTTCACGGATACCTTTTCTCCCTTCCGCTCGTTCCCCGTCGCCGTCGCCACTCACCTCTGCGATACCACTCCTTCCTGTTCCCTTCCCCATCCGCTCGCGCACCACTGTACAGCTGCAAGCCCGATCCTTCCTGGGTGCTGCGATGCAGTCGGCAAGGGGGCGCTCGATCCGGCAGTGAGGGGACACGGGAGTAGAGTCCACTCCCAAACGCGCAGTGGTGCTCTCGATATAGTCCTCTCTTCTTCCACTCCGCTCTTCCCCAGTAGTACGGACGCACGTGTGCTCATCGGATTCGGTCGTGTGCCGGCGAGAACTGGGCCGCTGCAGCACGGTCCGGCAGACGCTGCCGACGTAGCAAGTCCCATTCTTGTCGCTGCGGGAGCTGCATTGGCGCCCCACGCGGCCGTTCAGGCGTTCCTTGGGAGGTTGCGGTGGGAGAGGAGCTCGTGTCTGGAATCCGCCAGATCCGAGCTCGCTGGCGGCGGCAACAGTGGTGGGGGCCGCCATGGTGGCCGATGCGCCGCTTGATTTCGTGCTCTTGCAGGTCTCCCCTCGACGGGGACTCCCCCATCGTTGACTTCCCCGAGGTCTTCTCCCCGCCGGCTCCTCCGCGCGCACCGCTCCCGCTCCCCCTCCTATCACTACCCGTCCCAGTCTCCAATGCCGACTCCACCTCCGGCGCGGACCCCAGCCTCAACAGCGCCTCCGCACCCGTCCCCGCTGAGCGGGCGGTTGCGGCCGGTGGACGAGTTCCTTATGCGGCTCGTGGCTCGGGTTGCTTCTGCGGCCGGACTGGCTCGAATCCTGCGCTGCGGGGATTCCCGAGTTCGACGGCATCGGTGGTGCGGAGGCGCAGGCCAGGCGGTGCTTCAAGCAGTTCCTCTTCGCCGACATGAACTCCTGCGGGGCCAGGGTGCTGCCGGAGGGCGTCGGGGGACATACATGCTGAGTTCCTTGATGGCCCCTTCGTGCTTCAGGTTTGACATTGCAGAATCCAATTTGGGAAAATGGTCGCTATACTTTGCCCTGCTGAGCTATTTGCAATTGAGATCCATACTGTTTCTATGCTCCTATTGTGATTTAACTAATTATTAAATTCATGGTAAGATTGTTGATACTTCTGATTGGTGATGAGAATGTCTTGATCGAGAAAATAAGATGTTTTTTCAATATTCAACTTCTTGCTATTAAATTGCTTCTCATTGGTGATTAAAATGGTGAATCAACTTTACATACTTAAAACATCTTCAAATTTATGATGAAACCCAAAGCACTGCTCGCTGGCAGTTCTCTGTACATTCCACTCGGTTCATCACCCTATCCATGAACCAAGAATTTCCAGTTTCCATTATCAAACGGAAATAAAGAAGTTCAAGCAAGTAGTTAGAAAGAAAACAGAGATAAAGGCCTATACCTGTAACAAAAGGCTACCACCTGACTCGACGCTATACAAAGCAACTGATACAGGACACGAGCATAATTGAAATTCAAAGTCAAGTTCTAACAGACTGTCTACTTACTAAGACACCAACTATCAAGCTGCCACATCTGGCAAAGACTCTGATAGTATTCTAGCAGTTTACAACCTTGATTTTTTTTTTTGATACAGCAATATGTGTTCCACTGTCTGGGACACGTTGAGTAATTTTTTTGTCTTTCCAAAGATTGCTCCACTTTTGGTTTTCTTTTGCCTTGTTATTCTAATACACATAGGTATTATTAACCCAAAAGCAATGCAAAGTACAAGCCAAAATATGTCCCAACACTAACATACTGTTCATTTTATATACTGAAACAGATCTGGTTTATGGATGACCTCTCTCATAATGTCGTCGGAATTCGATAATGTAAGTATCTTGCAGTAGTTCTTGTAGTTTCGCAGGCCCTTATTTATGTTAATGAGGATGGACATTTTGAAGATAATTTCTGAGCTAATGTTTGGTCTTAATTGTCAAGCACATGGAAACTTAGTCCTTCTATGCATTTTTAATTCTCAAGTACATTCTACTTCAGCTGCTAGTAGAACTGTTAGTATGATCGCATAGCATTGATGCAGTTTAGTATCAGTGTGCCAACTGTTTCTCCGGTGAAAGTGCATACCACTTCTGTATATGTTAGAACAACAATTTTACATATCTGAATCTAAATGTGTAAACAGTTCATGGTTTCAGTAAATCCAATTATTGTTTTAAAAATGATAGAATTTTTCATAGCAGATGTGCATTTCACTCAATCAATTTTTCATAGGCCTGATCTACTGGAGATTGCCGCTTTTTATACCACTTCTGTATATGTTAGAACAACAATTTTACATATCTAAATCTAAATGTGTAAACAGTTCATGGTTTCAGTAAATCCAATTATTGTTATAAAATGTTAGAATATTTCATAGCAGATGTGCATTTCACTCAATCTATTTTTCATAGGCCTGATACTGTAGATAGTTAAGATCAATGCACTGGAAATAGTTTAGATCCATGCACTGAAAGTAGTGATCCAAATAGCAAAATAGGAGAGAACATGGAAGGTATTGTCGGTTCATGAACAGTAGGCCAATCAGCAGCAACTTGGAATGGGCGGCGGGTGTTCGTGATGGTCAAAAGCAACTACAATTCTTTTGAGCTGGCCTATCAGTAGACTTAATAATAGCAGATCACAAGAATCATTATAACTTTATAATGGTATTCTCGGATAATCACACAAGAATTCTCAGATAATGGCAAAGAGGATCAGAAGTCCTGCATATCCTTTAATTTCTTTTTCGAAATCTCAGATCCTTCAATTTCTGAATATTGGTCTATAACCTAGCAGATCACAAGTCAAATTCTGACCATGGTCTCTAACGTCAGAAATTACTAAATAAGCCAATGTTGGTGGCACAAAATTACAGAGTGCCCAAAATGTAGCTAGAAAGTTCTTCCAAGCCAACTTGTAAAAAATCACAACACTAACTTACTTGAAAACATAGTTACTGCAGCTGAAGAAACAGATTATACAGCTTCCAATCTAAACCTCATCATGATAGCAAGACAAGTGACAGGTTTAGAGAAGGTTTCATGCAAAATTTTATAGTGTTGTTCTTCTATTTGCTGTCTGTTCAAGAAGTCTGTGCAACTCGTACATCCATTTGTGTTATTGGACATGGGGAAGACCTTATGAAAAGCAGTGACAGCAGAATATATTTTGCATTTATAAATCATCAAATTATAGAGTGATTAAACCACAGGCCAAAGGCTAGGCCGCAAGTATGAACTAGTATTTTGGATTGAGGGCTGTTCTGTCAATTTCCTATTAAGACATTATTAGCTCGAAATTTGTTACCTCTGAATTCTATTGACTGGAATTGTTGTTCAGGGATTGAAACTTTAGCTAGCAACGCCCATTTTATTCCTTAGAGCATACTTCCTATGAAAATCAGAATAGTTCACCTGAACCTGGAACACTTCAGCAGCTCTTGATGATGTCAACTTAGAATGAATTTCGAAGCGTGTCTCCACTGAAATCAGTTCAAATCAAAATCTTTCATTTCTTGAGGATGGGCAAGATAAGTGGCTTCAGTTTTTCATCCCAAATTGATAGTTCATATTCAGTAACTGGACTGCGTATACATAACTGAAAGTTATCCGTAGTAACTGGACTGCGTATACATACCTGAAAGTTATCCGTGCAGACGTGGAATAGTGATGCT